TTGGTACTTCTGGACCGTCTGAACCGAGCCTAAGTCCAGTCGTGTCTCGGCCATGACCAAACCAGCTTTGTGTGATCCTGAGTTCACGTTCTCCACCTCTAAAAACTGAACCAGAGTCCCAGCTCCTGCTACATTCACCAAGTGCTTCTCATGCACATACAGGCCTGTTAGCAGCTCCTTCGCTAGCTCCTGTATAAACTGGATGGCCGTTGTCATCTTCTGTTGAGAACTTTGCACCAGAACCTTCACGCGCAGGCGCTTCAGACGTGGACAGGTTAGTGGCTTTAGCTGGGCGCGCTGAAGGTGGAGCTTGACTGGATTCATATTCAATTCAACATGGGTGTTTTTACCTTCATTAGGCTGAGGAAACATCTGGAGGCAGAGGTTTGGTGTAGCACAGGTGGTTTGAAACTGCAGGTAGTCGTCAGCGAGGTCACTCCGAGGCCAGGCAGTGCAAAGGCAGGCCCCCTGCGGCAGCAGGATGAGGAGCGGAGAGCCGAGCTTCAGCCCGAGTTCCTCCATCACTGCAAGACCCATACGACACCTTTGAATGCCGGCATCCACCGGGTCCGGAGGCAGCACGGTCAGATCCGTGTCCTCCGCAGGCACCATCTCCACAAACCTAGCAGGTCACAACAGCATCCAAGGAACCTGGATCATCACATGAACACAGATCAGTTTGTATTATTTATCACATCACTTACATTCTGGATTGGTCAAAGGTCAACAGCGTGGTGATTTTTCGTGCTAGACGGGCCTTCCAGAACCAAAGGCGGGCTCCCCTGTCCTACACCTACTGTTATTTGCCATCATCAGCATTAATAAATAGTATTTTTCTGTTATTAGAAATAGTGTATTCAGTTTAGAACGCTACACATTAGTGCTGCAGAGTGCAATATACTTAAAGGGGAAATCCACCATTCGCAAAAATTTCTGCATAGTTATTATTTCAGATTTTCCACTATTTTGCCATCATCAACATTCCATATAAAACTCAGAAGACACGTGTAGGTTCACTGCTGGTTTTGGATAGTAAATAAAATTTCTATATTTGTCTTTGTCTTGTGGTACTCCACGCATGCGCGTCATTTTGTATTGGATTACTTGTAGTGCGCATGTAAACGAAGATTTTCCATCAAATTTTTGAATAGAGTGTTCATATAAACACCTCAGTGGCTATGTTTACATGCAAAGATTTTTGCCAATCCGATTGAATACAATCGGATTACAGATTCAGACTGAGGTGTTTATATGCTCACTCTATTCAACAATTTGATGGAAAATCTTCGTTTACATGCTCACTAAAAGTAATCCGACGCAAAATGACGCGCATGCGTGGAGTAGCGCTTAGAGTAAACGTTACCATGACAGCGAACATCACGTGAGGTCCAGTCCGCGTGAGATGAGTTTCCAGTTGGCACGCTTGTGTTATTAACTGCTTTAACATGTCAGACTCAGAAAAACGTGCTTCACGTGTACTTATAAAGGAAGCGGCGAGAGGAAGACGTCGTGTTCTGAGACTCATAAGTTGGACGTCCGTCCCACCGCCGTCTTTTAAAGATCAGAGCATAAACTTCGTCTCCTCTGCAGACCCGTTTCTGCTCCGCCATGCTGAACGTTATAAACTTTCGCCATGACGCGACGCACATGCGCAGAACATACTTACACATTCCGATTGGAATGTAATCGGATTCAGGTGTTTACATGGCTATTATTCTTCTATTTAACGGATTATTTGGAGGTTTACCCACCTCGTTCAATCGGATAGAAATTGTATTCTGAATGGCCTCAATCGGACTAGACTATTCCGATTGAGGTGTTTACATGGACGTAATATATTCCGATTGAGCTATTAGTCGGATTATTAACGGATTATCAGGCTGCATGTAAACGTGGCTAGTCTGAATCTGTAATCAGATTGTATTCAGTCAGATTAGCAAAAATCTTTGCATGTAAACATAGCCATTGTTTAAGACAATAGCCACGTTTACATGCAACCTGATAATCCGTTAATAATCCGACTAATAGCTCAATCAGAATAGAACACGTCCATGTAAACACCTCAATCGGAATAGTCTAGTCCGATTGAGGCCATTCGGAAAACAATTTCTATCCGATTGAACGAGGTGGGTAAACCTCTAAATAATCCGTTAAATAGACGAATAATAGCCATGTAAACGCCTGAATCCGATTACATTCCAATCGGAGCGTGTAAGTATGTTCTGCGCATGTGCGTCGCGTCATGGCGAAAGTTTATACCGTTCAGCATGGCAGGAGCAGAAACTGGTCTGCAGAGGAGACGAAGTTTATGCTCTGATCTTTAACGGACTTCCAGCTTATGAGTCTCAGAACACGACATGTTCCTCTCGCCGCTTGCTTTATAAGGACATGTGAAGGACGTTTTCCTGAGTCTGACATCATTTTAAAGCAGTTAATAACACAAGCGTGCCAACTGGAAACTCATCTCACGCGGACTGGACCTCACGTGATGTTCGCTGTCATGGTAACGTTTACTCTAAGCGCTACTCCACGCATGCGCGTCATTTTGCATCGGATTACTTGTAGTGAGCATGTGAACGAAGATTTTCCATCAAATTGTTGACTAGAGAGTGCATATAAACACCTCAGTCTGAATCTGTAATGGGATTGTATTCAATCGGATTGGCAAAAATCTTTGCATGTAAACAGCCAATGTTAGACAGAATTCTGCATACTTGAATTAATGCTACACTCTTTAAAAAGGTGTTTCTTCAAGGTTTCTTTAGTAAAGGGAATGGTTCTATATAGGACCATGAACATGCAAATAAACCTCTGCTTGCTTAAATGTTTTTTACAGATCGATACAGCACCAAAAAGGGTTCTGCACCAGCTCATCCAGCTTTTCATCTGTTCATATTCATATCTCTCTCACCATCAGCTCATCCAGCTGTTCATCTCTTCATATTCATATATATATATATATCTCACCATCAGCTCATCCAGCTGTTCATCCCTTCATATTCATATATCTCTCTCTCACCATCAGCTCATCCAGCTTTTCATCTCTTCATCTTCATATTCATCTCTCTCTCGGCGCAGTGTTTATCCTGCTGTGGAGGAAAGCATGTGGCCACGCTTTCTTATTTTGCGTTTCCTACAGCGAGGAAAACACACTACTGCCCTCCAGTGGACTGGAGCGCAGAGGGGAATAACACTAACGGGGAATTCCGCCGATTTTTCATAATTTCCCCATAATTCAGTGTCTGAGAAGTAATCAGAGTGATTCAGAGTGGTTTGGTGCGAAATGTCTTTACAGCGGTGGTGATAGGAACCAGGGGTCGCCATGACTACAACATAAATACAGACATTTTATTTACTATCCAAACCACCAGTGAACCTACACGTGTCTTCTGAGTTTTATATGGAATGTTGATGATGGGAAAATAGTGGAAAATCTGAAAAGTTTTCTTTGGGGACTATTTTGCCTCACAGCGCCCTGCATGTTATGTATCTCTCCACCATGAATGGATTTTAAGTTCTTAAAACTATCATAGAACAGTGTCTCAGGCATCATGCAGTGAATTCATAACCATTTCATGTAAAAACTTTCTGTGAGGGAGCCTTTAGAGGTGGACGTCTGGTTCCTATCACCACCACTGTGAACAACTGTGACTCGGTAAGTTTCTCTAGAACGGAGCGTTTCACACCAAACCACTCTGAACGACTCTGTTTACATCTTAACCATTTAATTATTCAGGAATTTAGAAAAAATTGTGGAGTTCCCTTTTAACATGAATTAGTGATATTATTTTTTGCTATGTTTAATTGTATTTTAATTTAATTACTCATTAAATAACACACTTTCTAATATTTTTAATGAGAAGAAAATCAGAAAAAAGTACATTTGGCATGTCCTATATGTATAAAAACAGCACTACAGAAAACAGTAAAAACTAACGTGTAATGTGTAGACTTCTAGACTCCGTACTGCAGATTTAATAACTGTCTTCCTGCTTTCCTCTGAGCTGTCAGGTCACTCTGCCCTAAAAGCTGTAAAAGTCTGAGCTGAAAGGGCAGCTGATAAAGATGTTTGTTTAAAACTTTCTCAGTTTTTACGTAATCACATGATCTACTATTTATAGCAGAGATAAGGCGCCGTATCGAGCTGTGGAGAAGGAGAACGGCAAGGACGGCGTTTTCATTTCACACCCGTATTCTGTCAAACAAATCCCACCCATTTCTGTAATCCTATTGGGCGAACTGAGTATGAACTACGATCCAATCGGGGCTCTGTAGGAATAGAGGTGTGTTTTTGCCAGAATACGGGTGGGAAATATCAAGGAGCCCATTTATGGAGGGCTTGAGCAGAGAGAGAGAGAGACCCTAAAGAGAGAATACCAAAAGAGAAAGTGGTGGAGTTAAACTGCTGTAGGTTGAATGGGCGGGGCTAAACTGCTGTAGGTTGAATGGGTGGAGCTAAACTGCTGTATGCTGAATGGGTGGGGCTAAACCACTGTAGGCTAAATGAGTGGGGCTAAACTGCGGTAGGCTGAATGGGCGGGGCTAAACTGCTGTAGGCTGAATGGGCGGGCTAAACTGCTGTAGGCTGAATGGGCGGGCTAAACTGCTGTAGGCTAAATTGAGTGGGGCTAAACTGCTGTAGGCTGAATGGGCGGGGCTAAACTGCTGTAGGCTGAATGGGCGGGCTAAACTGCTGTAGGCTGAATGGGCTAAGAGGCTAAGCGGGAGTGTATATAACTGCAGGATTTAGTGACATCATAAAAACAAATTCAAAATAAGCTGTTTTTTTTCTATTCAGTGTCTATATATGGACTGTATGGACTGGGAAGTGAATAGTATATTCAAAAAATGTAAACATACCACATCACACTATTATTTAAAGGAAACTTGGGTTTCCATGATATTGGCCTGTTAAAGCACAGAGACATGTGTGCAAACAAGCCTGTGAGTGTGTATATAGACTGAAAGTGTGTGTGAGAGGGAGAGAGAGAGAGACGGAGAGTTTCTTGGCACTGTGCTCCACTTCTTCGTCACGCTGTGAGTTCTCGCGTTGCAGTGTGTGTATATCTGTGTGCCAGCTGTGTCCTGTTCTCCCTCTAATGTCACGGGGGCCTTTGCCGGGCCTGCAGGCTGAGACGGGTTCTGAGAAAGAGAAGGAGATATAGGCAGGAAGGATAAGAGAAGGGGAGACAGAGAGAAAGAGAGACATATAAAGAGAGCTGTAGAAAGAGAGTTTCTCAGTCTGAGGAAGATGACCACAGGTGTCTGAGTGACAGACGCTCCGTTTGTTTTCTGCCTACTGGACGCAGGCCGGCGTGGACTGGACAGCGAGCGCGTGAGGCATGTCCGTGCTGCTTCGCCGTGTGCCCTTGCTGCAGCAGGAGGCCCTGTGGAAAATCAAACACTTCCACACCGTTCCTGCACTGTGGAACCAGCAGGCCCCCAAAGGTACGACTACGCTAGTGCACTCATGTCACGCTTGTGAGTCTGACTCAGTTCAGGTCACTCTGAAGCTGCTGAAGGTTCTGCTCTCCACAGTCACACGTTGTCCTCACTTCTTTAGCGATTATCTTCTAGATAAAAGTTCTACCTTCTGCTCTCAGGCTCTGTAAAGCTATCAGTGGCTGTAAAAGAGAGGTCAGATAAAGGTGAAATCCACCCTGACTGCTGTAGCCATGAATTCCCCCTTCAGACCCTCCACTCTGAGTTGTCTGTGGCTGTGATTGAGTGTCTGTGCTGCAGTGTCTCTTTCCGAATCCCTGTGGTTTTAGAGTATTATTATTTCGGATTGTTCTGGCTGTGGGTCGGAGCAGGCCAGGCCTCGCTGGATTTCTGCCAGCCAGCTGCTAATAATGTCTCGCTGTCAGTGGAGGACGCCATGCCAGTTATGGGGAGACACGTGAAAGCTGAGCCACGAGGCAGAGCAGTGCCAGTGAGGGCACTGAATACTCCTTACTGTCTCAGTACACCTTACTGCCTCTATTATTGACTCAATACTTCTTACTGCCTTTATTACTGACTCAATACTCCTTATTGCCTCTATTACTGACTCTGTACTCTTCACTGCCTCTATTACTGACTCTGTACTCCTTACTGCCATTTGTACTATCTGAGTACTCCTTATTGCTTCTATTACTGACCCAGTACTTCTCACTGCCTCTATTACTGACTCAGTACTCCTTACTGCCTCTATTACTGACTCAGTACTCCTAACTGTCTCTCTTACTGAGTCAATACACCTTACTGCCTCTATTACTGACTCACTACTCCTGACTGCCTCTATTACTGACTCAGTACTCCTCACAGCCTCTATTACTGACCCAGTACTCCTTAATACCTCAATTAAATGACTGAGTACTCCTTACAGTCTCTATTATTGACTCAGTACTCCTCACTGCCTCTATTACTCACTTGGTACTCCTGACTGCCTCTATTATCTATTCAATGCCCCTTACAGCCTCTATTACTCACTCAGTACTCTTCACTGCCTCTATTACTGACTCAATACTCCTTACTGCCATTCATACTAACTGAGTACTCCTTACTGCCTCTATTAATGACTCAGTACTCCTTACTGTCTCTATTACTGAGTCAATATGCCTTACTGCCTCTATTACTCACTTGGTACTCCTGACTGCCTCTATTACTGTCATACTGGCTCTATTACAAACTCATTACTCTTTACTGCCATTGACAATAACTGAATACTCTTTATTGCCTCTATTACTTAGGCAATGTGCCTTGCTGCCTCTATTACTCACTTGGTACTCCTGACTGCCTTTATTACTGACTCAAAACCCTTTGCTGCCTCTTTTACTGACTTAATACTCCTTACTGTCTCTATTACTGAGTCAATATGCCTTACTGCCTCTATTACCAAATTGGTACTCCTTACTGTCTCTATTACTGAGTCAATATACCTTACTGCCTCTATTACTGACTCAGTACTCCTTACTGTCTCTATTACTGAGTCAGAATGTCTTACTCCCTCTATTATTGACTCAATACTGCCTCTGTTACTTAGTCAGTACCCCTTACTGGCTTTATTATTGACTCAATATTTCTTACTGTCTCCATTACTGGGTCAGTACACATCACTGCCTCTATTATTGATTAATACTTCCTACTGCCTCTATTACTGATGCAGTGCTCCTTACTGTTTTCATTACTGAGTCAGTAACCCTTACTGCCTCTTTTGAGTAAACTCTCCTTACTGCCTCTATTACTGAGTCTGTGCCCCTTACTGCCTCTATTATTGACTCAATATTCCTTACTGCTTCTATAACTGACTCAATACTCATTACTGTCTCTATTATTGACTCAGTACTGCTTACTGTTTCTATTACTGAGTCAGTACTCCTTACTGCCTCTTTTATTGACTCAACTCCTAACTGCCTCTATTACTGACTCAAAACTCCTTACTGTCTCTATTACTAAGTCAGTACCCCTTACTGCCTTTATTACTGATTGAAAATTCCTTACCGCATCATTTACTGACTCAGTACTCCTTACTGCCATTCGTACTGACTGAGTACTCCCTACTGCTTCTATTACTGACTCATTACTCCTTACTGCCTCTATTATTTACTCAATATTTCTTACTGCCTCTATAACTGACTCAATACTCCTTACTGCCTCTATTATTGACTCAATGCTCCTTACTGTCTCTATTCCTGAGTCAGTATCCCTCATTGCCTTTATTACTGACTCGGTACTCCCGACTGCCTCTATTACAAACTTCAGCACACTGAATAATGGAGGTACAGAGCAGCATACTGAAAGCTAGGAGAGAGAGTAGCACAATGAACCATAGAAGAAGAGAGCAGCATACTGAAAGATAGAGGGAGAGAGAGCAGCACAATGAACCATAGAAGAGAGCAGCATACTGATAGATAGAGGGAGAGAGAGCAGCACAATGAACCATAGAAGAAGAGAGCAGCATACTGAAAGATAGAGGGAGAGAGAGCAGCACAATGAACCATAGAAGAAGAGAGCAGCATACTGATAGATAGAGGGAGAGAGAGCAGCACAATGAACCATAGAAGAGAGCAGCATACTGAAAGATAGAGGGAGAGAGCAGCACAATGAACCATAGAAACAGCAGCACAATGAACCACAGAGGGGGAGGAAACACCCAGAAAGCATAACACTGAATAATAGAGGGAAAGCAAGAGCATTACACTGAATAATAGAGGGAGAACGAAAGTATCACACCTAACAATAGAGGAAGAGGAAACACCCAGAGAGTATCACACTGAACAACAGAGGGACAGAGGGAGAAGGAGAGCATGATATGAATCATAAAATGATAAAGGGAAAGCAAACAACCAGAGAGCATCACACTGAATGATAGAGGCATAACGAGAGAAGGAGAGTGTAACACTGAGCAATAGAGGAAGTGGAAACACCCACAGAGCATCATACTGAATGACAGAGGGAGAAGGAGAGCATCATACTGAGCGATAGAGGGATAGAGAAGGAGAGCATCAGACTACACAAGAGAGGGAGAGCAAACATCCAGAGATCATCATATTGAACGACAATGCTTTGTGAGTAATATTAGAGCAAAAATCTGAACCACATGGGGGTCCCTGAGGGCCAGTTTGAGAACCAGTGCCATAAATAACTTGGTATAAATGTGTTTGTCAGTAATGTTTGTGTTTTGTAGGAGTGCGCTATAAGGATGTCCTGGTGGGCGTTCCTAGGGAGATTGTGCAGAATGAGCGGCGCGTGGCGGTCTCCCCGGCAGGTGTGGAGGCTCTGGTGAAGCAGGGTTTTTGCGTGCAGGTGGAAGCTGGAGCTGGAGGAGAAGCAAAGTTCTCAGATGATCAGTACAAAGCTGCTGGAGCCGCCATTACTGACACTAAGGGGGCTTTTGGGTCAGACCTGGTGCTCAAGGTGAGAAATGTGCACCTGTATATCCAGGTGCAGCTCACACAGACGTCACATAACTACAGAATTTACACATTAGTAATAGATGCTGAATAATTCATGTTGCGTATAATAATTGATGGGGTTAGTGTGCATTGATTAAGTGATGACTAATCTGTGCAGGTGCGCGGGCCTGTGTTTAATGAAGCGTTAGGTATCCATGAGGCAGAGCTGCTGAAGGATCGCTCCACGCTGGTCAGCTTTATTTACCCAGCGCAGAACCCAGAGCTGATGAAGAAACTTTCTCAGAGACAGAGCACTGTGCTGGCCATGGACCAGGTGCCCCGGGTTACCATCGCTCAGGGATACGACGCCCTCAGCTCCATGGCCAACATTGCCGGGTACGACGCACCAACTTTTTACAAACATTTTTTAAAAGCACTAGTGGAGCTGGTCTGTTCTGGGGTGGGGCTGAGATGTTAGAGGCTGAATGGGAGGGGCTAAACTGCTGTAGGCAGAATGGGTGGGGCTAAACTGCTGTAGGCTGAATGGGTCTGGCTAAACTGCTGTAGGCTGAATGGGTGGGGCTAAACTGCTGTAGGCTGAATGGGTGGGGCTAAACTGCGGTAGGCTGAATGGGTCTGGCTAAACTGCTGTAGGCTGAATGGGTGGGGCTGAGATGCTACTGGCAGAATGGGCAGGGCTAAATGGGTGGATATATGTAAATACACTTGGCATCAAAAAATAATGAATTTTTTTAAGAATGATTTTTTTGCAGCTTTGTTTCTTTGTTTCAGACGAGATGTGTGATTTTAATGCAGTATGAATCAGCTGTATGTAGACTTTTTACAGTCCAAGAGTAATAGGTTTTATCCTAATGCTGATTAAGGTGAGTTAATGTGGGTGAATCGCCACTTAAAAGGGAATTCCACTGATTTTTCATTATTTCAAACTTTAAATTTTGCAGAAACAGAGTGATTCACAGTGGTTTGGAGTGAAATGGTTCAGATTTCTTTACAGTGGTGGTGATAGGAAGCAGGGGTCACCATGACTACAACACAAATATAGACGTTTTTTTACTATTCAAAACCATCAGTGAACCTACACGAGTCTTCTGAGTTTTATACGGAATGTTGATGATGGGAAAATAGTAAAACATCTGAAATATTAAGTTTTCTTTGGGGACTATTTTGCCTCATAGCACCCTGCATGTATCCCTCCACCATGGATGGAGTTTAAGTTCAACAGTGTCTCAGTCATCAGGCAGTGAATTCATAACCATTTCATGTAATAACTTTCTGAGAGAGCTTTTAGAGGTGGACATCTGGTTCCCATCACCACCACTATGAACAATTCTGACTTGGTAAGTTTCTCTAGAACTGAGAGTTTCACACCAAACCACTCTGAATTACTCTGTTTACATTTTCACCATTTAATCATGCCAACATTTTGAAAAATCAGTGAAATTACTCTTTAATCAGTATCTGTATCTACTGCACTGCTGCAGCCCATGAGTATTTCAGATTTAAGATTTAATACAAACTCAGTGAGTCTAATGGTCATTTAAACTGCTGCAGCTGAGGAGAAACAGGCCTGATATTCATGTAGGTTTTAGAAATACTATCGTGATTCACATATTTATAATGATGTGTTCAAATGAACAAATTCGTTTGTGAACAAATTTGTTTGTATTGAGAAGTGATGGGTTAAATCAGCCACAACTTCCTTATTACTCAACCGATTTTCACCAAATTTCTTTTGTTATAATCCTCAGATATAGATTAATCTAGGTTGCTCGGACTACTCTTGGTAGCTTTTATTTCTTTAATAACTGTGCAAATTATCCGTCTGGACCAGCAGGAAAGTATTCAGTCTGCACCTGACGTTAAAAACCAAGTTTAGCGCGAGAAACATAATCTCACACACATCGGCAAATTCATCGTGGGAATCACTTCTAATCTTAATACACATACAAAATAAAATAAACCCCCCAAAATAGAGTAAGAAGGATAAAGCTAAAATTGGCTTCCTATTCGCCAGCTTCTTTCTGTTGCCTGTAGCTGCACCATTTAAGGTGGAACAGGAAAATTCGAACAAGATGCTGCCTGATGCATCATTTAAGGTGGAAATTCAAACAAGAAGCTGGCAAATCAGAAGCTAACTCTAGCTTTAGCTTCGTGTAAGGTGCTAACTTAATGTTAATCTATTATGAATATCTACAGGGATTAAGGAATGCTATAATTTACCTATAGCTACAAAACATTAACCATCAATGTAAATAAATAACTACAACACAAAGTTAAGATCCCCTGAATAGACTACTAAATGAAATAAGCTTAATATAAAACCAGAGAAAAAATAATCACATCAACAGGTTCTGTGTGCCTCATTAACCACACGGCCATATCTACACATAAACATTACACAATACGCATCACACAAACGTGAGCGTGGATCGCTGCGTTCCCTCTATTATATAATCCTATCCCCCTTTCTGAGTGCAATATTCTTGAAATAGATTCTGGCAAAAATTATACTTTCTTAAACTGTCACTCTAATGGTACTGAATGCAGTTCAGGAGCGATGTTGACCGCCCTAAAATGGCGGCGTCGTTGACGTGCCTGACTGGACCCAACGCGGCATCTAGGCATGCATATCTATGATTGTGACCATCAGCTAGCCAGGCTAACAAGCTAATGAGTTGACCTAGCTTAGTTTCATACTAAGGTAACAATAGGTTAACATTAGTGGTAATAAATATTGAAGGACAATATGTTGAAGGAAATAAGCACCAGAAAGTCAGTGTAATAAGTCATGTAGCTCTGAGTTATCTGACGTAACCCAAAGTTAGCAGGTTAGCTTGGTTTAGTTAGCCAACCTAAACATGCTGATAAACTCTTGTAAAAGTAGAAGAGAATAAATAACATAGCTACTCCTAATTTCAGCCATCTCTGCATTGTGTATTTTACTCTCTCTCTTTGTCAGCTAACTGCTGTGAGGAAATTCAAAAATAGTAAGCTCCAGCCTTAGTAGGCCATTTAAACTTTATTACCGCAAAAAATCACATATGAAAACCACATTTAATCATTAACAATGTTGTTATTCTGTGTGTAAAAAAACTACAGGAACACAACTAGATTTCTATTTCACAACGCATATTTGTCTCGGTGTGAAGTCTTAGCGGTTAGCTTTCTTCGATCTGAGGTGAAAAGTTAGCTGCAAAAGTTAGCCAAGGTCACTAGAGTTAGGCAAACAGAGTAAGTGTGCCCCCCAGAGGACAAACTTAATTTTACTGTAAACACAATCAGCTATTTTAAGCAGATAGATGAATTACGGAAAACTTGAAGTGACCGACGGTGGCCGATATTGAGGAAGCCCTAGCGGTATTAGCAACAAAGTAAACAAAAATGTCATTATTGAATCAGAAATATTTTCAAACAAACAAAGTCTTGGTCATTGATCTACGCACATATCTCTCCTGGAAAACATTAATTTGGGTGACCAAAGTGCTTTCATGCCTTCATTTATTTACTGTTAGCCTAGATTACTAATTTTACTGACCTGAGTTTCTCCATCTCTGGAGTGAATAAAAACCCAGCGATCAAAATGGATGGCAACAAATGTTCACTGCTCCTAAAAAGGTAAAAGTTCCTAGCTCCTGAAAGAATGGTGATTGATTATACTGTATGTAACATGACTGCCACTGTGAATGTGCACTTTTTAAAAAATGACACCCATAAAGATGGGGGTTATTTCTCGAGGTGCAGATATTAGAAAGAATGAACCACACAGACTCACAGACAGAGCTGTAATAGACTGTGTTCTTGTGTGTGTGTGCAGGTATAAGGCTGTGGTTCTCGCTGCAAACCACTTTGGACGGTTTTTCACTGGCCAGATTACAGCTGCAGGGAAAGTGCCTCCAGCAAAGGTACAACACATAAAACACACGTGTGTACTTACCCAAACACATACCGTACACAGACCTGTGAGGAGCGTATGGCCGTATTAGGTACTCTGGGTCTAAGCTCTGTTTCTCTATTACATAAATGAACAGTGTTTTTTAAAACCCCTGCTATGACGTACTAATGAATACAAAGATGCACCAATACCTATATGTTTTGTATTATGTATATTTTCCCCTGCAATCACTGCGTTCTCTGAATTACAAGGTCATTTTGCAGTGAAAATATGAATAACACTGTATACATGCTACAAGCAAGCTCTTGAACGCTGAAATGGCGTTGCATGAAAGTAAGTCTATTTAACTTCAACATTATTAAAGTTAGGAAAGTTGTTAATCTTCTATAAAGTTACCATACAAGTGTTGCATGTTTAAGTCACAACACGATTATACTCATAGTACTCACCAACAGAGATGAGTTACGCAATAAATAAAGCAGGTAATGTGCATTCCATATACATGCACTTCTCTGAATGCTCAGTAACACACTTATGATGTCAGTACATCAGCATTTGTCTCTTTGTTGGGTCCCAAATTCCTACAGGCTGATGAAAATGTTAAAACTGTGTGGTTGTGGGCAAGGTGCGAAGGTCCAGGACCCCCTAATTAACCTGTTGAACTCCCTGAATGTCTCAAAATCAAAATTCTGGAGGGTCCCTGAAAATATTATGACATTCTGCGGTCATTGTTTATCTCTTAACTAACTAGAGCTGTAGCACTGCTTTGCAGGGTGGCGCTGTAGCAAACTGGTTCACCCAGTTGGTCCTTCATAGTCTAGAATCTGTAACTCTGGCCGGATTCCTCTGAAAAACGTTACAATGTGCTGCAGCATATCTGTAAATCTGAAAACTCGCCCAGTTTTCCTAGAGTTTGGTGTAAAGAGTGACTGTTTCTCATTTTTCACACGGAAAACTGAAGAGGAGATGAGTAAGATCTCAGTTAATGTGAGGATGAGCGCATCACCAAACTCAAATAGAGACTTTACAGAAGAACAACTGTTAAACCAAACATTTTGTTGCCATTACAGCATCAGTACCGCTATGGTGAGTGAGTTAGCAGCCAGACAATATTGAACCCCCAAATACCAGGGGTGGATTTCACACACTGCTTGTGGGGGCTTAGCGCTCCACGAGAGAAAATGCTTTTCCACTAAAAATGCAGCTTTAATGAAAGAAAAAAAATGCTAAAGCTAACCTTTTGGTTTTTGGGATTAAAGTTACACACAGACACACACACTGCACACGCAGGTTACCACTTTTCCATCCTTGAAATCTTGGACAGCCTGGAATTTGACTAGTTAAAACCTAGAAAATAAGAAAATTGCTCAAATGTTCTACCAGACCAATCCCAGGCCTTGTGTCCTCACCACAAGTGGCTTTATCTTTGGCGCGTTTATGCATTAATCTCTTTGTATGATGTGTTTATTGTGTGTGGGTCTGTGTAGGTGCTGGTGATTGGCGGTGGTGTAGCTGGTCTGGCAGCGGCAGGAGCGGCTAAGTCTATGGGAGCCATCGTGAGGGGCTTCGACACCAGGTAAGACTGACAAGAGTTTAGAACCCCATCTACACAATCCTTCTGGTCCAGATTCTCTAAATACTTTGGGCTTGTTGCTCACAGTGTATTTACATGCTGACTAGAACAAAGATGGACTGAGTGCTGAGTTCTGCCTCTCATAAGCGTCTGCTGTTAGACCTGCAGCTCTGGAGCAGTTTAAGTCTTTTGGAGCGGAGCCGCTGGAGGTGGACGTGAAGGAGTCCGGAGAGGGAGTCGGCGGCTACGCTAAAGAGATGTCTAAAGAGTTCATAGAGGCAGAAATGGAGCTTTTTGCCAAGCAGTGCAAAGATGTGGACATCCTCATCAGCACAGCGCTCATTCCTGGTTAACACACACACACACACATAGTCACAGATACATACAAATATAAGCAATCTTCGGGAAAGAAACAGTTTAGCGAGGAATCTTATAATTTTTAAATCTATTTTACATTTTTATTATTATTATTATTATTATTATTATTTATTTATAGATTTCGTAAAGATGGACATTGTGGTTGAGCAGTATCTACACCGACCAGCCCCTTCATTAAGCCCAACTCCTTGTTTCTAAACTCACTGTCCATTTTATCAGCTCCACTGACCATATAGTTTCACTTTGTAGTTCTACGGTTACAGACTGTAGTCCATCTGTTTCTTTGCATACTTTGTTATCCTGTTCTTCAATGGTCAGAACCCCCACAGAGCAGGTATTATTTCTGTGGGAGGTCATTCTCAGCACTGCAGTCTCACTGACTTGGTGGTGGCGTGTTAGTGTGTGTTGTACTGGTGAGAGAGGATCAGACACAGCAATGCCGCTGTCCACTCACTGTCCACTCTATTAGACACTCCTTACTCGTTGGTCCACCTTGTAGATGTAAAGTCAGAGATGAGAGCTCATCTGCTGCTGCACAGTTTGTGTTGGTCATCCTCTAGTCCTTCATCAGTGGTCACAGGACGCTGCGCACAGGACGCTGTTGGCTGGATATTTTTGGTTCTCAGTCCAGCAGCGACACTGATGTGTTTAAAAGCTCCACTCGCACGTCCACCTCCACGTCAATGTCACTGCAGTGGTGAGAATGACCCACCACTCAAATAATATCTGCTCCGTGGGGGTCCCGTGGGAGTCCTGACCATTGAAGAACAGGTTGACAAATCTCCAAATATTTCCGCAGTATGAGGGTTTATGTATATAAAATGCATCAACTCCCCACCTGTACGCCAAAGGGCTAGGTAAGAGTGCTGATGTGTGTGTGTTTGTGTATGTGTTTGTGTGTGTGTGTGTGTGTGTGTTTTAGGTAAGAAAGCGCCGGTGCTGATCAGCAGGCAGATGGTGGAGAGTATGAAGGATGGATCAGTGGTGGTGGATTTAGCAGCTGAAGCTGGAGGAAACATTGAGACCACAAAACCTGGAGAACTGTATGTTCACAAGGTCAGAAAACACACACACCTACAAACAAACATCTGTTTCTACACAAGTGTCAAACATGGCAGCTATTCAAATGACTTTACCACTTTTGAGCATTTTATTTATTGAGTTTGTTGAATTTTATTGAATATTTGTTGCCTAGATAGTGAGTGTGCAACATGTACACGCATATGCACATACAACTCCTCCAGGTTAAAGAGGAGAGGGACAGTCCGGCTTGCTATCAGCACACAATTCAAAAGCCAGCATCTGTGATGGTAAGGGGTGGGGCATTAGCACACATGGCATGGGTGACCTGCACATCTGTGAAGGCACCATTAATGCTGAACAATATATATACAGATTTTGGAGTAACATATGCTGCCATCCAGATGACGTCTTTTTCAGGGAAGGCCTTGATTATTTCAGCAAGACAATGCCAAACCACATTCTGCACATATTACAGCAGCATGGCTCTGTAGTAATAGAGTCCAGGTGATAAACTGGCCTGCCTGCAGTCCAGACCTGTCACCCACTGAAAACATTTGGCACATTATGAAGCGAAAAATACAACAAAATAGACCTTGAAATGTTGAGCAGCTGAAATTCTGTATCAGGTAAGAAAAGGAAAACATTTCACTTTCAAAACTACAGCGCTCAGTCACCTCAGTTCCCAAATACTGACTGTGGTCTTAAATGGGTAAACATGACCCCGTCTCAACTTTTTTGGAACATGTTGCTGAAATGAAATTCAAAATAGGCATATATTCTTCAAAAAACAATAAAATTTCACAATTTCAACATTTCATATATTGTCTTTGTACTATTTTCAATTAAAAATAGGGTTTAAATGATTTGATCATCATTGCATTCTGTTTTATTTACAACCCCTTTTCCAAGAAAGTTGGGACACTGTGCAAAATGTAAATAAATTACACAATTTGACCGCTTTAGGTAAGAGTTGCATGCAGTTAACTGCAATATGATAAAAAAAGACTGATTAATTTCTTAGGTACAATTATTTATGTGGCAGTTACAGACCTGAGTCTGACCCAAGCCTGATGTTTTATGTGAAAAAGATGCCTGGACCGGCATGAAACCCGATTATTTATTTTTATTCTGTGTTTATAAATGTGTTGTGTATCTCTCTCTCTCTCTCTCTTTCTCTTTCTCTCCCCCCCCCCTCCAGGGAGTGACCCATATTGGTTACACTGACCTGCCGAGCCGGATGGCCACTCAGGCCAGCTCTCTGTACTCCAACAACGTTCTGAAGCTGCTGAAGGCCATCAGCCCTGATAAAGAGTACTTCCACTTCCAGCCCACAGACCAGTTCGACTATGGCACGCTGGAGCACGTGATCCGAGGAACTGTGGTCATGCAGGTCAGTACAGACTCGTACACACTTCTCTCTCTGACCTGCTCACTCTCACTGTTTCTAACCCGGAGTGACTGTATTTAACCCTATGGAATCGAGCGTCTTAACAGCGACCTGCAAATGGCTCCTTTAACTCATTTAAATCTGCCATCAGAGGAGATATAGCGCATACACGCTCACAGTGGTCATGATGATGCAGAATCAGGGTTTTCTGTATTCTACCATGTTTCCTATCATTGTATAAAAGATGCACGGGACTTATTTATTGTTGGATGCACTGGGATTTATCGGTCAGAGCACAGTTCAGATCAGTAAGAGCTCCTGTTTTGTTTAAGCGAAGTAACAATAAAACATGACTGACGTGTGACTTATATTCCTGTTTGTGCATCAAAGTAAAATTCTACCTATTTTCTGCTTTGTTAGATTATGTTAAAGATCTAACAAAGAAGAACAGATTAGTCAACAGAAATATAACAGAAAAAACACATATATTTTTGCAATGTATGAAAATGATCAAAAATGTATTTGTTAAATATATGGATGGAGCTCCATCCACATCCACTCCTCCACAGCCCAATGCTGGGGGGCTTTATGCCCGTCTAGCCCACGCTTGGCATTGGACATGGAGTCCTTAGGCTCATGTGTGGCTGATCCAGAGTGTCCCATTCTATTGGCCAGTATTTTTCTAGGGCGGTAGTACAAGCTTTATGTGTGCAATTGAATACTTCTATGGTTTTAATTTAATTTTGATGGCAACTTTAGTAAAAACCTGACTTGGCTGTTTTGATACGGTAATGTTCTGTTTGATTTGATCTCACGCAGACACGCACAGTAAAGTGATATTTCATTACCTGTCTGCAGGACGGCAAGAATCTGTTCCCCTCCCCCCTGCCGAAGACCACCCCTCCCGCAGCACCGGCCAAACAGAAAACAGTAGCAGAGCTAGAGGCGGAGAAAAAGGCGGAGATTTCACCCTTCAGGAGAACCATGACCTCAGCTGGGGTTTACACAGCAGGTATCACACCTGCACACACACCAGCACAGAACAGGTGATGCTGGGCTGAATATCTACATCAGTATGTTGGTTGTGGCATTACATAGTTACACCAATTTTTAGTTTTAGTGATACTGATAGATAACAAAACCTTAGTTACTGCAGTGTATGTCCTTTGCTTGGTACTTCAGATGCTTTCCCTTTCTGTAAATGAACTTTCTGTCTGGTTAACATCTACCATTACTGTGTAAAGTTCTCTTTTTAGTGTTTTAGTTTAAAGTTTAAGGTGTAAACAGTCATTCACAGTGGTTTGGTGTGAAATGCTGCTTTCTAGAGAAACTTACCTAGTCAGAATTGTTCACAACATCCACCATGCTTTGTTAATCTTTGTTAACTATTTTAATCCATTTGTGGTGGAGGGGTACATGCAGGACATTGTGAGGCAAAAGAAAACTTATTATTTCAGATTTTCACATCTTCAACATTCCATATAAACCTCAGACACGTGTAGGTTCACAGGTGGTTTTGGACAGTAAATAAAATATTTGTGTTGTAGTCATGGCGACCCCTGGTTCCTATCACCACCACTGTAAAGACATCTGAACCGTTTCACACCAAACCACTCTGAATCACTCTGTTTACATCTCACACACTCAATTTTGCAGAAATAATGAAAAATCGGTGGAGTTCCGAAAAAACAGAACAGGCCAACCTACATAAACACTGTCATATTTGTAAGACATTCTTTTAGTATAGAGCAGCAGCCATTAGGACGCATGGGCTCATTAATATTATTAATGCCAACTTAGATATTATGCAATATTTATTTGGAAAAGGTCATGATATTAAGTTTGGTCAGTATCTCCCAGCACTGAGGAATAAGTCTGTGTTTAGACTGCCAGCCCAATCTGATTTTTGTCATATCCAGATTGTATCCAGATTGATTTTTGATAGTCTGGACAGCAAAAAAAAGCACATCTAATTTTTGTTAATCAGATCCAAATCACATTTGGAAGTGGTTTGAAATGCGACTCCAAACATTTTTACAGATGCGTCTCATTCTGGACACTTAAATCTGATTTCAAAGGCTGTGTTTAGACTGCAGACAAATTTAATTTGTTTCTCAAATCGGATCTTTTGAGACGACTTTCTGCTATGTTATGTTATCTGCAGATAATCAGATCAGATTTGTGTGTCCAGACATCACTAGTCTATATGCATGGGTTGCCGTGGTAACGACGTAGTCATCAGTAACTACGTAGCTATGCTGGTGATGTGGATTTCAAACACAGATGCTGGAGAGATGGAGGAGCATCATCTTATCCCCAAACTCTTCAGAGTTCTCTTCATAATCATGAATCTTTGGAGCTCTTCTTGAGTCCCAGCCCTTCATCATGTGAGTGACGCAAAAGACACTTTGAAATCCGAACTGAGCGTCCAAAGGGTCCAGACTGAGACACATCTGTAAAAATCTGATTGGAGTCACATTTCAAACCACCTCCAAATGTGGTTTGAATCCAATGTGGAAAAGTCAGATTACAAGTTTTTTGAGTTTTTTTTTTTTGCTGTCCAGACTATCAAAAATCAATCTGCATACAATCTGGATATGACAGAAATCAGATTGGGGCTGGCAGTCTGAACAAGACCAAAGTGTCTTCTGCGTCACTCACGACTCGACAAACAGAGATGATGTCACATCCAAAGTAATGATGTGCTTGGATTCAAGAAGAGCAATTCAAGAATCAAAGATTCATGATTATGAAGAGAATTCTATAGAATTTGGAGGGCGACATGATGCTCTTCCATCTCTCCTGCATTGCGTTTGAAATCCGTTACGTAGTTACTGACACCTACATCGTTACCACAGATATAGACTGATGATGTCTGGACGCACAAATCAGATCTGGCCACTTGCAAATAACAGAGCGGACAGTCAACTCAAAAGATCTGATGTGAGAAACAAATCCAATTTGTCTGCAGTCTGAACAGCCAAACAGACTATGAATTAAAGGTGTGTGTTTGAACATTCAAAGTTCAGCAAGTGGCCTTTCTCACAGAGTAAATGAATCAGTGAAGCAGTGTGAGGAACTGTGAGTGTGTTTATACCTGTGTGTGTGTGTGTGTGTGTGTGTGTGTGCAGGTGTGTCTACAGTGTTGGGTTTGGGGATCGCCTCCCCCAACGCTGCCTTTACACAGATGGTGACGACCTTTGGCCTGGCCGGCATTGTGGGATATCACACTGTGTGGGGGGTCACTCCCGCCCTGCACTCTCCACTAATGTCCGTCACCAACGCCATCTCAGGTCAGCCTCTCTCTCTTTCTCGTACGATTAATGTGAACAGATTCCCCCAACAGCCAAATTCTCCCAAACTGAGAGCATGTAAAAAATACAGCAAATATAGAAAGAAAAATGATGAACAGAAATTTATGAGTGTAGCAAAGATTTTTGTTAACTGAGTTCAAGGCGTGAGTAAAAATTAGTGCATTTACATCAACAAAAACTACTACACTGATCTGCATTGCGAGAATCTTGGCTCTTTATCTTCGTATCCCAAACGTGCAGTAGAAACCTGGGTGTGATCTTAGACTCTGAGCTCTGTTTAATCTGCATGTAAAGACAGTCACCAAAGCAGCTTTTTATCATGTGAGAAACAAGTTCAGCCTTTTCTCTCTCAGAGCGACGCAGAGAAACTTGCTGCTGCGCTTGTTCAGCCGAGTTGATCACTGTAATGATCTTCTGAGTGGAGAAAGCAATCCATCCTCTACAACTCATACAGAACGCAGCAGTGTGGATCCTCACAAAACCAACACAGACAGCTCATATTACCCCGTTTACACACTGCACTGACTGCCTGGATCTTTTAGAGAGATTTTAAATGCCTTCCGTAAAATACAGAAAATGTGAAGAGACTCTTTCTGTTATTCTGCTTCTAAACTGTGGAGCTCAGTTCACCTTTTATTAGACAGTCAAGCTGAGAGCTCACTTTTAATAAACATCTGAAAACACAGCTCTTTAACTCAGCGCTTCATTAAACTCTACAGCTCTTTGGTGTTTATCTCTTTAATCTGATCATAAGATTTTAAATGAATACTCAGTTTCTGTCTGTCTGTAAAGCACTTCGACCTGCCACCAATATTGAAAGAGTGCTCTATTATTATTATTATTATTATTATTAATATGTGATTTTGGTAATGAAGATGTTCTGATGGTGGTGATGGTGATGATGATGACGTGATGATCATGATGGTTTGTGTGTTTGTGTATGTAGGTCTAACAGCAGTAGGTGGGTTGGTGTTGATGGGTGGGGGTCTCACTCCCTCCACTCTTCCGGAGTCTCTCGCTCTTTTGGCTGCATTCGTTTCTTCCATCAACATTGCAGGTGTGTATAAAACACATGCACCGTAGGGAGGCACACACACTGTAAGGCCCAATAGCTTTTCTTATTTTTACCCCTACCCCTTGTTTTCCGGTGTCACCTTGCTCCTTGGAACTGAGTTACAAAGGGAAGAGGTTGAAATCTTCCCCTATGTAATGGGACAACCCTTCCAGATCCCGACGCGTCATCAGTAGTCATTGATGGCTTTTATGTAAAAATGGGTTTTGCTGTAGTCTTGTTGTTAGCTTAGCTACATGACATGCTAACTAGCATGTAAAACATTAGCGACTTTGGATTCTGTTAACGTTTGATGAACCCGTTTGTGATGCACACGTAACGTGTTTACTTTATTGATTTGTGTGTTGATTTCTCATAACACTCTGTTTGGAGTGTGTCTTTGAAAAACCTCTGTTTGGAGGGCAATGTACACAACACTTCACTCTACCCCTCTATCACAACTTGAATTGGGACACCATAGCCCTAGAACTAAACGCGCAAAACGGAGGCGGTAGGGCTGAGTAGTAGGGGCGAGGGGTGAAATGCGATTAGACCCAAGTGCTCCATATTCTGCAGCAAAATCAGTCTTAGTGTGTTCCGCCAGGTGATTACTGATCAGTGTGTGCTACAGGTGGATGATGATGTTATGTGTGTGTTTCAGGTGGTTTCCTCATAACCCAGCGGATGTTGGACATGTTTAAGAGGGCAACGGACCCTCCAGAGTACAACTACCTCTATGCCATTCCTGGGGTTGTGTTCGTGGGGGGATACGGGGCATCCCTGACCAGCGGCTACAGCATTGAACAGGTGTGTTTGTGGGTTTTCAAGTTTGTTATGGTATTACTGCTTTTGTCAAATGCATTTTTAGTAGGGAATTTTGGAGTTACTAAAACCTTCTGGTAAGAAAAAGATAAAAAAAATTTCAGTTTCAGAGAAAAAGGGCAAAGATTTTGACCGAAAAAATAAAGATTAAATTGGCCTACAGTTAGGCATCAAAATTTAGGACTTTTCAGATTTGTTTTGATTTTGAAATTGATTTGATAAAATAAGATAAAATGAGAAATGCTGGTGGATCAACAGTCAAAATATTGAGTGTGTGGAACTATTTCATGGCTTCTACAAAGAATATTGGACAAAAGATTTAAAGTCTCTGTTCAAGTGGAGCATGAAAATGCTCAAGAACTCAAGAAGTGCAGCACTAGAGATTTGATACGAACTAGAAAACACAATCTCCCGTTCAATAATGCACAACATGGCAAAACAACAGAAGCAGAAAGGACAGTCCCTGCAGGCAGCGCAATTCGTACATTCAGTTTATGAAATGATATAAACGACAGCCAGAGGGAAAAGAACACCTACATAAGCTTGTCGTGACAACTGACCTAACCCTACATAAATATTAATAAAAACTTATGTCGTTATGGTTAGGTTACATTTGCCGATTTTGATCAGTTTGATTAGTTAGCTAAAGTAGCCTTTAAGACAGATGTGGCTTTTTGGAATAATCATTTGTTAAAGATTAATAAACATTTATGTAGGGTTATGTCAATTTTTTCATGACAAGCTGTAAGTGTCATGTATCCTTTAGATCAGTGAAGTGTTTCTCTGCTTTTTTTTATTGTTAGCCTGTTTTAGTTTTTGGCACAGTGTGAATTTTGGTTTCTGTTTTGGCCAAGAGTTTTCATTTTTCTGTGTCACAAATTTTTAGTGTCTGGAGTGTTTGTGAACCTCCCTGGGGCAGTAACTCATGTGTGTGTGTGTGTGTGTGTAGATGATGTATCTGGGCTCCGGGCTCTGCTGTGTGGGTGCTTTGGCTGGTCTCTCTGCGCAGGGCACCAGTCGCCTTGGAAATGCTCTTGGCATGATCGGTGTGGCCGGTGGCATCGCTGCCACGCTGGGTGCCCTTAAACCTTCCACTGAGCTCTTGACACAGATGTCCCTCGCTATGGGAACAGGAGGAGTTCTGGGTAATACTTAGCATTCTGGATAATCTGCAGTTCTGGGGTCGTATTACAGAAATTTCTTATCTGAAATCTGATGTGATTTTAGTCTCCATGACGACTTCAGTATGAACTGAATTTAGGACAGTAGCTATTACAGAATAACAGTTCCTACCTTCATAATCTCATCATTAACTCCAGATAAGAAAACAGTATTACACAAACATCCTAACTAGACTAAATCTCCTAAATACTGTCCTAACTTTAGGATGAACCCCAACAGTGTCCTAACTTCAGTTCAAGCATCCGTTTCTATCGTTTTTAGGCAGCTTTGTCAGGCAGCATAGTTCACTACCAACATAATGATGCTACATTTATTCATACTGTAAAACGCTGATTTCACTGTGAGATTTTTCTTTTCTAACTCTGCGTTTTTAAAATCTCAGACGCTGCAGACTCGATCTCCTCCATCCCCTCTCATTACCTTTGTGTGTTAATGTTGATAATGAAATATTACAGTGATGGTGGTGAATAATGAGGAGACAGAACTGAACGGGTGTCTGTTTATTAGGAGGAATAACGTTTGCGTGCTCGGCTAAAGTGTTTGGGAAATGGAGACTGAAACTGGGGAGTGACGACGCTCTGATAAACAGCAGGGGGCGCTCTCACAGTATTCACAATTTACACTTTATCACACTTTAGTTTGGCCTTTCTTACGTCAGTAACAGTAGCTTTCTGGCTAACTAACATGATTATTTATTACATGTTTACATTTCAGCTGTGTGTGGATCGTCGGTTGCTGGGTAACAGACATGACAGCTGACTGTCAGCTTTGATTGAATAGTTTAAGATTTCCATACTGGATGCTGTATAATAAGATAAAATTACAACAAATAGATAGGACGTCTGTGTAATACAGCTGCTGGAGCTCAGCACAATTCTGTGGTTCCCTAATTGAACACACCTGAATCAATTCATCAGCTCATTATTATCAGTTCTAAAGCATAAAGCATCCTAAATGCTAAATCCTGCTGTTAGCAGGAAAACTATCTCGAAATGTATTAGTATTATGCACTAAAATAATACTATTTCAGACAAAAATGGATACATAAAACTAAAACAAATACAGTATTTTATATTTATAACTTGGAAATAGGTCTATAAACAATTTCTTTAGCACTTATAACCCTGGGTCTGAATGATTTTTATATGTACAGTCACAAAGGTTTGAACACCCCAAATTAAATTGCATGTTTTATGGAGTATATATATCTCCTATAACCTTTATCCCCTTAATGTACTGGGGCTATGATATCTGTTTGGTATTCTCATATGATATCTGTATCAGTGTGACTCCAGGTTGTCTGTCTGTGTTATTGCATGAGCACTGAATAAAGATAAACTTTAACATGAGGCATGAATTTATTAAAAATCTACTTAGTTGTAGCATTTGTATTCAGTGAATAGAGTGACCTCTGTTTGGTGCTTTCAGCTCAGATTTAGGTGTACATGAGAATTCAAAACTATCAGGAGGTTCAGGTGTCTCTAGGTGTCTCCTTATAGAGACAGGATAGCTCCCAGTTTGGGAGGACGCTGACCGGTCAGTTTGACCCAGTGAAGAAAATTGGATTGACGAAAGCACTCAAACAGGCATAACCCAAAGTAATGATGTCATCTGATAGCACTAATGGTGTACTGTTACCAGTGTGTTATGTAAGCCGGTGAACCTTATAAAGATTGACATTGGAAAGACCTCCACAGAGAACATGCCTAAATATAAATGTTTCTGCCAATTTCAACAAATAGTTTCTGTTTGTTGGCTGAGTTTAACATATTGAAAAAAAAACAAGCATGAAATACAAAATGTGCTATAACTATGCCTTTTTAAATTAATTTATTTCCCAAATATGTTAAATTCAGCAAATAAGCAGTAATTACAATGTGCATTAAAATGTGCAGAAGTGGACTTTGACCGGGGTGCCAAAACTTTTGCACACAACTGTACATAAAAAAAAAAACTATATATGAAAGTGACAGCACTTCAGTAACAACAAAAGTACTACTTAAGCTTCGTTGTTAATGTCAGAGCTAGGCTTTGCACACAAAAAAGAAAAGATCATTAAGGTTTATGAAGCAGAGACAAAGGCCTGGGCATTCCAGATTAGAAAAGGAAGTAGTTTATATGACCTAGCAATACATAACGTATTGTCAGCTGCAGAGCTGCTGTTTATCGTGGCGTGCCTGTAAAGGCTGAAGATGCATGGCATGTTTTGGATTTTGTAACCACTATAGAATCAAAGTCTGCTGTCGTTTACAGGGTAAATGTCTCTGATGACTTGTTAATTCCCCCTTTGAGTTTCCAGCCTTACTGTGTAATAACACACAGCGGAGCTAGCCTGGAATCTCGCCTATTCCACTAATTCAAAACACACACGTTCCTCTGGAATCAGACTCAGAAATGATTTGTTTGTCATCCATTACAGCCTTGTGTTCTTGCTCAATAACACACACATCATGCATTTTACAGTTTCCCCCTCTTACCCCAAATTAAAGCAATCAGCAGAGACATGTTTGTCTGAAGTTTACTTCTTTAGTTTAAGCACTCCAGCTACAACGCTAACGAAGCTAACATGTATGTAATAGAAGCTTAAACCCCACCAATTAGCATGGTGCTAACTGCATGCCCAAAAAATCAACACACTTGGTTCAGACCATGTTGTTCAGTATCTCTAATAGACTTGATTAAGTGGTTTCTGGCATTGTATTACTTACAGTTATCTATAAACATGGACTAAAGTACATTATATGGACAAAATTATTGGGACACCTCTTAATCATTGAATTCAGGGGTTTGTCTCATTGCTACAGGTGTATAAAATCAAGCACGTAGCCATGCAGTCTGCCTTTACACACTTTGTGAAAGAATGGGTCGTTCTAAAGAGCTCACTGAATTCCAGCGTGCTGCTGTAATAGATGCTACCGCTGCAACAAGTCAGTTCACAAAATTTTTTCTTTTCTAGATATTCCACGATCAACTGTGAGTGGTGTTATTGAAAAGTGGAAATGTTTAGGAAGCACAGTAACTCAGCCACAAAGTGTCAGACCACGTAAAGTTACAGAGTGGAGTCCCCGAGTGCTGAAACACATAGTGCATAAAAGACATCAACACTCTTCTGACTCAATAACTGTAGAGTTCAAACCTCCTCTGGCTTTAAAATCAGCACAAAAACTGTGCTGGGAGCTTCCATGGCTGAGAAGCTGCAAGCAAACCTTACATCACCAAGCACAATGCCAAGCGTGGGATGGAGTGGTGTAAAGTGGCCGCCACTGGACTCTGAAGTAGTAGAAACGTGTTCTCTGGAGTGACAAACCACACTTCTCTGTCTGTCAGTCTGTTGGACAAGTCTGGGTTTGGTGAATGCCAGAAGAACGTCACCTGCCTGACTGCAATGTACAGTTTGGTGGAGGAGGGATAATGCTATGGGGTTGTTTTTCAGTGGTTGGATTAGGCCCTTAGTTCCAGTGAAGGGAAATCTTGGACAATTGTACGCTTACAGCTTTGTGGAAACAGTTTGGAGAAGAACTTTTCTGTTCCAGCATAACTGAGCCCCAGTACACAAAGCAAGGTCCATGACTGGGTGAGTTTGGTGTGGAAGAACTTGACTGGCCCTCACAGAGCCCTGACCTCAACCCCATCGAACATCTTTGGGATGAACTAAAACGGAGATTGTGAGCCAGCCCCTCTCGTCCCCTAGTGTCCCACAGAAACAAGAATTCCCACCGAAACACTCCAAAATCTTGTAGAAGCCTCCCAGATGCGTGGAAGCAGTTATAGCTGCAAAGGGGGACCAACTCCATATTAATACCTATGGATTTAGAATGGGACGCGACAAAAGCTCCTGTAGGTGTAATGTGTAATACATTAGCATAGGTAAACACAGTAGCAGCACGTGGTGAGTGTGTGATAATTTAGGCATACAGCTTTCACTATGCTAACTGTCCATGCTAATAAGTGTCCATTGCTTGATAGCTACATTAGCCATGTAGCTCCAGTGCTAAAACTAAAGCAGCGAACTTCAGACACCAAACATACCTTAGCTGGTTTAGGGGAAAAGTGTGAAAATTTAGATTTTTTGCTTTAAATACATCCTTCAAATGATGCGGCTAACAGAACTCCTACCCCTCAGGTCTGACCATCGCTAAGCGGATTGAAATCTCAGACCTGCCTCAGCTCGTGGCTGCGTTCCACAGCCTGGTGGGTCTGGCTGCTGTGCTCACCTGCATTGCAGAGTTTATGATCGAACACCCTCACCTGGACGTTCACCCGGCTGCTAACGTGGTGAAGACCGTGGCCTACCTGGGCACCTACATCGGCGGAGTCACCTTCACCGGCTCGCTTGTCGCCTACGGGAAGTTGCAAGGTGAGATTCCCAAATGCTAGCATACTAATTTATTTCTGCTCTGTTTTCTTTGATATTGCTTAAAAAAGATGGTCCTTTGAAGGTTCTTTAGTAAAGAGAATGGTTCTATTAGAGTTCTATATACATCCATTTGCATGCTTAGATGTTTCTTTACATGGTGAAATGGTTCTTCAGATTGAAGATGAATGTATTGTATATGGTTCTATATAGCACCAAAAAGGGTTCTGCTTTTGTAACAAGCTTGACGTAACTATGGCAAAACCCTTTTTAGTGCTATATAGAACCAACACATTCTCCATCAATCTGAACCATTTCACCATTTAAACATGTACTGGTGCAATATAGAACTCATAGGTCTAAGCAGAACTATTCTGTTTCTTAAAGAACCCTTAAAGAACCATTGTTTTACATGCAAGGCAAGAAATGTATTTGGGGCTGCAACAACTAATCAGCATCATCGATAATGTCGATAATAAAAAATAGTTAGCTACAAATCTTGTTGTTTATTAGTTTGCTTCATGATGTTTGAGCTCCCCATTTACATAACTCAAATTAAAGAGGGACAATAGGCTACAGGTGGCAACAACATCAACCCAAGAAGTCAGAAATATGTCAACACTTCCACAAACTGTTTTGCGCAATGATTTTAGATTACAACACACTGGACAGAAGCTTATAGTGTATCTGCTTTACTAAACACGGTCTGCTTTTCAGCTGCTTCTGTTTTAATTTGGCTAATAAAACAATAAATGTTAATGGCTGAGGAGATGAGTTACATTTTGAAAAAGTTTGTTTAAAACACATGGCTGAAATACGCATTTCCTCTAATATGGTTACATTTTTTTACTCTGGTCCACCCAAAAACTTTTTTTTACATGCACTTTTTTTGAGGTTCAGGACTCTTGTGTGTAATATAATGCTATCACATTGATTAAAATAGAAAGTTCTGTTGCTATACTTAGTAAAAGTGCTTTTATTGTTGTTTTTTATTTTATAAATTAAAAAAAGAGAAAGGAGGTGTTTTAAAGAGCTCTGTGCTAAAGGAGAAATGCTGGTATTTTTTAAATAAAAGGTTTATATCATGTTAAATCTTAAGTATCTGATTGATCAAAATGATCGTAATTGTAATTTACTGATTTAATCAATTATGGAAATGATCAGTAGTTGCAATAATAAAAAGCAATTAAAAAAGCAATATCTACATATAAAACAACAGTTTTGTCAACTAGTCATTGCAGCCCTGGAACGTAGTTAAAAACAATACATACGAGGGGACGAGAGCTTCAGGAGAATCAAATGTCAGTAAAACGAACCTTTCTGTGTATCGTCGTAACATGCAGCCCTTCAGTATTAAAGTTAAGACCACAGCCTCCTGTAGAGTAATGCGTTTTCTCAGATGTCAGGTCATGCAAGAGATCTCTGCTGTCTGTTTTTATAAAAAGCAGAGTGTCTGTGTGTCCTCATTCTGTCTCTGCTGCTTTTAATCACCACGGTTTACTGATATACTCCAGCCTCTCTCTCTCTCTACTCCAAACCACCCCTCTCTCTCTCTCTGAGAGGGGTTCTAAACAAAGTTATTGACGATGTTGGCCTACAGATGGAGCCATTGTGAGATTAAAGTCCTGGCCTCTCAGAATTTTCAGTAATTCCAGGGTCTCTGGAGTGGACGATAGGAGGCCAGCGTCCACAGAGAGCCTCAGTTTTATACATCCAGAAAGAGAAGAAAGAGCCAAAAGTGATCTTATCTGTTTCTGATTGTTTATGGGAGGAGAACGACTGTCCTACAGTACTGCAGCCAGCAGTCTGATGAAGAAGAGAGACTGGAGCCGGCATTCGGCTCCTCACACGCTGATAATTAACTGCAGATTTCCGAATTCTTTACAGTTGTCTCCTCTTATGAAGAGTTTCCTAATGAAACCCCTCTGGGCTTCACAGATAGAACAGCAATGGGCAGATCCCTGATAAACAACTGCACTCGTATCTGATTGTGCTGTAGCAGAGAAAGCACTAAACCAGGTTCAGCTACACTGTTTGGTTTAGCTCCAGGTAGAGGTCTGTGTTGGACTCTATTTTCAGTCCCACCCCCGCCCATTCCCGCAAGATTGTCTCGCTCCCGCCTGTGCGGTTCCGTCAAGGTGAACTGACATCCAATATCTGACACAGTCTATTCATAAACACATTATTCCCTGCTGAAATAACATGGCAGTCATGGTCATCAGGTTCACTGTGAGTAACTTCACCAAATGCCATTTATGCCCAGTAAATACAAAGCAGGAATTAAATCAGAGAGCAGTTATTTTTGGTGTTTTGCTGGGCAGCTGTGGCCGTCGGACTGAAGACTCTGCCCTCTCTGTAAGCTACAAGAATCTGCGTGTTGCTCAGGTGATCAGCTATATAGCCCTTAGAATGACTTCATTCATTTTAACTGTTTTACTGTCATCATTTTAGATTGTTTATGTATGATTTACTGATCATTGTATTTTTTTCAGGCTGTTCATTAATTTGCAGAATTTGTCCCGCTCCCACCTACAGTGGGCCGGTTACCCACCCGCTTTCGCATGGAACACTGAAACTTAGTTCTGTGCTGCAAGATGTTGTGCACATGTTAAGATCAAAATGGATCCGGTCAATCTGAAGAGTAGAGGGTCCTAATTTTAGAGTAATTGCCGGTGTTCATGTCTGCAGCCGTCACTTTGCCAAGAGCGCTGTTTATAAGACTCGTCAGGTTGATTCAGGCTCAGAGATGGTGCTCTTTTCTTTGGAATAATTTTCAAAAGCTCAAGATTCAAGAATCTGTTTATTTAGGAGGGTCCACACAGCTAAGAGCAGATGTTTTGAGGAGGAGAAAGAAGTCGGCATCTCATTCAAATTTCCTTTCCACCTTGAACAATCCAGCTGTCACCTTAAATGATGACTGAATATTTAACTGAAATACACTTAAAGGTGCAGTGTGTAAGATTTTGGGGGCTCTATTAGCAGAAATGGAAGATGGCATACAAAAACATGTGTTCGTTAGTGTATAATCATCTGTAACCATTGTGTTTTCATTATCTTAGAATGAGCCCTTCATATCTACATAGGGAGCGGCTCCACTTCCAGCAGAGGACACCATGTTGCACCACCATGTTTCTACAGTAGCCCAGAATGGACAAACCAAACACTGGCTCTAGAGGGAGCTTTTTGCAGTTTTACACTGAACCAGCAGCTTGAATATGGTGGTGCTGTAGCTCCAGTTGGAAGACACAGAAAGAAGAAGAATCAGTGGTTGCTGTCGGTGCTGTTGACCAATTTGTGCTGTGCGAAGTTTGAAAACCCAAATTCTGACAAATGGAGGATCAGATTTATCGGTTAACACAAGAAAAAATGAGAGAGGGTGAATCCTCACCGTCACAGAAGAAAAAACATGAAATAAAATGAAAAAATTGAGTCAAATCGGGACAGGTGACCACGGAAAACCTGACGGCCAGCGTAGGTTCTACTACATGCTTGGAAAGGGAGGGGTGAGGGAGGGGGATTCAGCTGGTTGCAATCTGCAACGTCACCACTAGATGGCACTAAATCTTACACACTGCACATTTAAGTATGTAACAAGCATTTTAAAGGTTTAAATTTACCCAGTATTGCTGTAGTCTTACACTAAAGAATTTGCTGCAGCAACAGCCGTATTAGGGACATGAATGATAATTAGGACTACTGTGTATGTATGTGTGTACGGCATAGGTTGTCGTCTTTGGAAGAAGTGATGATAGTTGCTTCAGAATAACAGGACTTTGTCTTATCTCATTTTTTTGCACCTTTCCTAGAGTGAAATACACTAGGATGCTTATCAGTTTCCCAGTTAAATCCCCAGCTGCTCTTCTGTGTGGTGTTAATATGTGCTGATTCATGTCTGTGTGCAGGTATTCTGAACTCCGCTCCTCTGCTGCTTCCTGGACGCCACATGTTGAACGCGTCTCTGTTAGCTGCCTCTGTTGGGGGGATGGTTCCCTTCATGCTGAGTGACGGCTACGGCACCGGCCTGGGCTGCCTGCTTGCTGTCTCGGGCCTGTCGGGGGTCATGGTGAGTAGGACTGCAATCAATCTATGGATGCACCAATATGGTAACTAGAAGCCAATGCCAATATCTGATATTCCTCATGCATCTTCCAAAGCCAATATATACATTTATAAAATAGAAAGTAGAAACTCATATTTGAGATAATATTTACAATATATAAATTACATACATAGTTAGGTATAAGCCCATAATTAACACCTGCTATTTTATGATTATCCTATTTATGATACATTACATAAAAATATATATACTTAATTTTTTTAATATATATATATATATATATATATATATATATATATATATATATATATATATATATATAGGCCCATAATTTGCAGCCGATATGGGAATTATGGGCCTATGCCATTATTCAGTATTCTTATGCCTACATATCTTCCAATGCCAAAATATACATTTATAAAATAGAAAGTAGAAACTGAGCTATAATCTGCCTGGATTTGCGTTACAGACAATAATATAATATAATATATAATTTATTTATATTTGATTACAAATACTGTAAAATGATGATAATGCTAATATTTTAGCAACTTTTTAGTGACTCACCTTCACCTAAACATTCTGTACCTCTACCTGGCCTTGCATTACAGAAAAATATAACATTTATTTCTGTAGGATTATAAAAGCAGTAAAATTTATAAAATGCAGATAATTTACTGTTTCTAACACCTCTCACTTTGGAGCTTTAGCATTTTATTTCAGACTAAAAGAATCCAAAGAGAGAAGAACAGAGCCCAACAAACTTTGATTCTTATTCGCCAGCTTCTCATCCAGATTTTCTGTTCCACCATAAATGGTACAGCTGTTACATTCTGGTGGAGCTGAACATGAACTGAACATTTGAATGAGAAGACAATTTTAGCATCTTATTTCCTATGCTGATTGACACTTAGCCCTCTGGATTTGTGCATATCTTCTTAAACTCTCCTTTAAAGGCTCATCATATAACATGATCCTCATATGTTTCATATCAAAATACTTCGTTATCTTCATCACTACTTTCCAAAACCGCTGCAGCAACTTCAGCAGCTGTCTCTCTTCACGCCATTTCACATGTGTCTCCCATGTGGACTGAATGAAGAATGAAGGGTTTCCGACGTGATGGTCAGTCCTTAGTGATTTCCTGAATGTGCATTGGTCAGTTTCACACAGAATGTAGACGGACACACGAATCCACCAGTTCCACACGGTGAAAGGCAGATGACGTGTATCACAGCCCCTCTTCATAGCCTCATAACTCTGGATGTGAGTCACGTATGATCTCGTGATAAGATGGAATGGAAGGGACGACTCTACAGATTCAGTAAATGTTTGAACTGGATTTCTGTGCTGGATCAGCACAGAGACACAGAAACAGATACAAAAGATTTGACGCGTGGGTGAATTCATGGACTCCAGAGGGTTAATGGAATAAGAAGTTCTTCTACAGTCACTCACTAATGAATTAATTAACACACCTTCTTGCACTGATGATATATAATGCATATGGAACATTCATGTGACTTCACTTCCTGAGAAGGTATAAAAAAAGCATACAAATGTGCATGTGTGTGCAGGGTGTAACTCTGACTGCAGCTATAGGGGGCGCTGATATGCCGGTGGTCATCACAGTGCTGAACAGTTACTCTGGCTGGGCACTGTGCGCTGAGGGCTTCCTGCTGGACAACAACCTGATGACCATAGTGGGCGCTCTGATCGGCTCATCTGGTGCCATCCTCTCCTACATCATGTGTGTGGTGCGTAAGCCGGCAGTAGAGAGTAGAGGTGGGCAATATGGCAAAAATCTAATCACGAAAAAAGAACCCACATTTAAAAAAAATACTATCAAACATTGATTTTTATTCAGTATTTGACACAAAATCCAGTTAAATGTGACTAATTTTGCTCTCTTTATAATGAAACATGCAGTTGGTCAGTGTCTACAAGCACTGACGATATACATGATGTGTTCAGAAAGGCATATTGTATTGGACATATTGTGGGCTAATTTATCATGATAATTGTCATATTGCCTAGCCCTAGTTGTGATGTCACAGCAGTTGGGTGTTTTGGTTATTTCTGATCGTTCTAACTCATCTACAGGCAATTCATGAGCTCTGTGTAATCAGCTTAAATTTTCCCACTTAAAATTTGCTATTACAATGTTATTAATAATGCAGGCTATAATTAAAATGGCAGCTCTTTCAAATTGATATTTCCATATAAAAACAATTTATCTCAGTCCTGTTTCCGTGGCAGGCTATGAACCGCTCTCTGCCTAACGTCATTCTGGGTGGATACGGAACTACATCCACACTGGGCGGAAAACCCATGGAGATCGTGGGCACACACACCGAGGTCAATGTGGAGCAGACCATCGAGTTGATCAAGGAGGCCAATAGCATCATCATCACGCCTGGTACCACACACACACAAACACACACACACACACATAAATACATATATGCGGTAAGGGTTGCACAGACTCGTCGACTTTACTGCTTGGCAATGATGTGATTATGACACTAACAACATGGATGCCTCAGAGAAGACAGCAGGCGAAGAGTCTGGGTATTTCAGGGTCTCTGGTTACCTGAAGGCTAGCAATGTGATTCAGGGCTCGTTGGAAAGATCGCATAATAATAATAATAATAATAATAATAATAATAATAATAATAATAATTATTATTATTATTATTATTATATCTGTAAATAATGTAAATTGTTATAATTACTGTAGTAGTAGTAGTAGTGTTATAATTATTATTGTTTTTATTATTATTAAACAGTGATCGCGCTTCATGCTTTGTATTTTTGAGCAGCGTCTTCTACAGCACAGTCCTTTTTGTGGATAAACGTTTATTGTGAAGCAGGTCTGTGGATCAAATGATGGACAGTCCAGTAGCAGAACACAGGGCTATGACGTGATCTAAAACGGCTCAGGTGTGGCTTTATTTTTGGACTAAAATCAGCCCAAAATGAACGAAAGTGAACAGAAAGCTTCTCTCAAACGGTCCTCTTGTGCCCGAGCAGCTCAACGTCTGGTGACGCACTGTGTAAGGTAAAATCTGGGGGATATAATCTGACAGCTGTTAGAGACGAGTGTCTGCTCTGCAGCTCATAACCAGCAGAGGGCACTGTTTCCTCACATTTGATGCACATATACTACATTATTTGAGAAGAATCAGATGCAGATGAAGAGAGAGGGTCAGAAAGAGAGAGAGAGAGTTCCTCTTTACACTTCAGTATCAGTATCATATATTTTCCTGTGCTGAGCTGGTGTGCCTGGCGTCATAGAAGCTGTTCCACTGGATAAAGTTTGCTAACATCACTCTATGAAATAAGGTCTTTAACACAACAGTGTGTTAAATAAGCTGGTGAGAGTTAAACAGAACCTAATAAAATAACCTGGACCTGATGACACTGCACTCTTAAAAAAGAAGGTTTTTCAAGGGTTCCTTAGTAAAGACACTCATTATCAATTGCTTCATCAGTTGAAAGAGAATTCAAATAGAACTCAGTCTAAACTTGGTGAAGGACGTGTCTTCTGAGGATGTGAGTGAACTATCTACTACTCTCATCATATCTTCATCAGTATAATGTTGATTTTGAGATCATTTGAGGCCTAAATATGAAGACGGACCTTCTTTTTGAGGCTGTGTGTGTGACGTTGACCCCTTAACAGGCCCAAAGTTTTATTACACACTAATATAGCCTAAGAATAGCTCAGTTTGCATTGAAGTCCTTGTAGTTACTGAATAATAAGCCTCAGTATGTAATAAGCCTGAGATTTTAAGGGGTTAATATGTAAAGATGTATGACATGGTCTGAAAGGCTCCCACCAAATCTGTCCCACAACTCCGACTTTTAAATGATGGCTTTATAGGGCGACTCGCAGCAGCGCACGCTCACCATATTTTAGTGTGTTGTTTTTTTCTCATATTTTAGTGTGTTGTTTTTGACTCAGTAACACTACTTCTTTTAGTTTTAACAAAAATTTACGGTGCTGCTTTAAGGTGGAAATTCAAATATGAAATTTCAGCCTCGTGGTGAATATTGCACTTGTTTTAACTGCAAAACAGACATTTGATGACGGTGCTGTAAAAATTTACAACAGGACACGAATCCGTTCACATGAAAAGTGACCAGCAGTGTAGAGTCCAGTCTGCATTTAGACTCTCCACGTCTGGTCTCGAGTCAAAGTCCGAGTCATTGGTGTTGGAGTCTGTTGGTGTTGGTGTTTGTCGAGTCTCAAGTCATTAAATTTGTGACTCGAGTCGGACTTGAGTCAGTCATAAGACTTGAGTCCACACCTCTGAAGACTCATTAGCTTAGTGGCCTGAGTGGCCAGAGTACATGTTGATGTCTGTCCGCTCTTGAGGACATTTTTTTGGAAAAAAAAAATCAAGAGAAAGCAAACATTTGAAGGCCAGCGTACAGACGGACAGAGAAAGGGAGAACAAGCGAGAACAGAAAGGGACTGAGAAACAAAGAGAGAGACAGAGAGAGAGAGAGAGAGAGAGAGAGAGAGAGAGAGAGATTGATTCATTTCCCTATAGGTCAGTCTGTGAGGCGTGACAGTCTCTGAGGGATTCACTTCATGTCTGTATTCCCTCACACACATACCACAGGTCAGGGGTGTGTGTGTGTGCGTGTGTGTGTGTGTGTGTGTTGCTCTCACTCTCACGCACCCCCTCCAAACCTCTCCCTCGCCCTCCCCGCCTGCTGCGCTGGATTGCACAAGCAGTTCGGGAAACACCGCAATCTGACTCCAATCAAACGGAGTTCCCCTCAGCTCCACACAGACCTGTTTCCAGGCTCGAGCTGGAACTTTAAATCCAAACAGACGTGACCTCCATGCATCCTGTGATAGGACACACACTCCACGATTTCTCAGCTTTAACTCATTATCACACACACACACACAGCTGCATGTGTGATCATACATGCAAACTGGTTGCCTTTTGGACAACATCGCCGTGTTTTGAATGATAAACATGCACATGAATGGAGCAGATTTGATGTGTTTTTAGGATATTTTGGGGGGGGAGTGGGGTAGGGAGGGCTGAGAATCCCCCCTCTGCCTCAAAAACAGCACAGCAGCTCAGCTCACTCAACCAAGCCACAGTTACAGTATTTCATTTTATTGGCCAGGCAGAACTGAGATATCATGACTAGGGACTAATTTTGTTAGTTGAGTACCTGTAAAAGTTCACGAACTGATGTCTGATTAACCGCAAGGAGAGAACAACAATGCAAAGAAGAGAACCAAACAAAATAACGCAGGGCTGTAGGCTTGCCTTTTTAGGTGAAAACACACAGACGAACATGTTTTATTATCAAACAGTGAGAAACAGGTATGTTTTTCCTTTGCTGCTGCACACCATTTAAAGCAACACTATGTAGGATTTGGGGATTTTGCCCTCTCTGGTGGAAATGTGTAATTGCACAGGTTTACGTTTTTAGGTGAAAACACACAGACAGGCATGTTTTATTATCAAAAACAGTGGAGAGAAAACGGTAGGTTTTCAGGTTGGCTGAGTATGGCAGGCTGCCCCTTCAGATGAGCTAATGAGCTAACAGGTCTAACTTGTATGGCGTTGGATGCTGATAAGGAATCATTGTTTTCTGCTCAGTGGACAATGTGACAACATGTTAGCATGTCACAGAATATATTTTCACTGGTAACATCAGCTAGAATAGTTAGCCTAGGTTTTTTAGTAAAGACAATAGTTGTATATTTCTATTGAATGCTCATATTGAACGGTTCTCATGAACACTCACAGAACCATATGCATGATTAAATGATTCTTTGCATAGTGAAACGGTTCTTCAGATTGACGTAGAATGTGTTGTACATTGTTGTATAGAACCTTTTTTTTTTAAAGGGTTCTAAATGGCAGCAAAAAGGGTTCTGCTATAAGCTTGACATCATAACAATACCAGAACCCTTTTTGCTGCTATATAGAACCATATACCACACATTCTCCATCAATCTGAAAAACTATTTCACCATGCAAAGAACCATGTAAGTATGGTACTTTGAGTGTTCTTTGTTCTACATAGAACTATTGTCTTTACTAAAGAACCATTTATATATCCCCACACACCTATTCTCTAATCTAGGCATGTCAAACTGGGGACCCTTTGGGCTACAGTGTTGCAGAGATCAGTGTTTACACCAATAAACGTTTGTTTATATAATTATAAATGCAGGAAAACACGAAATGTAAATAAAGGTTTACATCAAAGTGCTTACTTTTTTTCATAATATATATAACACAAGTTTCCTCCAAGTCCTGTGAAGCTCCACCTCATCTTTTCAAACTACTGCTAATGCAGCGTCACAAAGCATTAGTATAAAATATTGATGTTGGTCCATTTTCAGCTTCAGTGTCATCAAGTGCATTGACTGATCATGGCAGCCCTACAGATTAGATGGATGGAAGGATGGATGGATGGATAGATGGATAGAAAGAAAGAAAGGAATGAAGAACTTTATTGATCCCAAAAGGCAATTGCAGTATTTCAGTAGCAAGATGTACAATTTCACATAACCTTACATATACTATGCAGAAAATAAAAAATAGAAATAAAAATGGACATAAGTTAAGTATAAGAGTAGAAATAAAGTATATCTATTTGCATATTTACATAGCATATAAGACAGAATTGTTGTATTTACATGATAGCAGGCACTGAGTGGTATGAAGTAAACTAAAAGCACGATGAGTATAGACATAACTAGGAGTTGCAGCAATATTACAATGTAAAGTGCATTATAATGCACCAGAATGCACCAGAACTCCATGTTAAAATCACTGAAATGTTCTCCTAGCTTTCCTTTTTCGCTGCTCATGAGCTTTTGTGTGTGTTGTGTTTCTCTCAGGTTGGGGTCTGTGTGCAGCCAAAGCTCAGTATCCAATCGCTGACATGGTGAAGATGCTGAGAGAGCAGGGCAAGACGGTCAGGTAAACAAACCCAGTCCTGCTTTGAGAATATCATATTGTTCTAGAAATATATATATATACACACACACACACACACACACACACACACACACACACACACACACACACGTATCTGTCTGTCTGTCTCTTTTTCTCTCCCTGAGAGGGCGGGAGGTCCAGTGGAGAGTGTCCAAAAGTCCGTCTCTGCTGCTGACCTTTTAATGCTGGTTCTGTGTAAAGAGAACTTCCAGGAATAATCTCTGTGTACATTTGCTCCGTTATTTTAGCTAAAAGACATGAGCACTGCTGAGCTCCAGACTAATTATATTAGAAAATGGACAAAACACATCTGGGGCTGATATGCACAGTGAAAAACAGAGCCGAGTCTGAAGGACAATGAGAACCAGGCACTACGGGGGCTCGGCTGAGAGAGACAGAGAGAAAGATAGAGAGGAGGAAGCAGCAGAGGACGCAGGTCAGCAGCAGCCTTACTCAGACACACAGCAGAACAGCCTGACCTGTTCACTGGTTCACTGTATTACAGCACAGGTCAGGACGGGGGGGTCAGGAGGTCAGGATATAAATAGGCTATCTATTTACCTATGTATCTATTTGTCTTTCTGTCTATCTAGCTCTATATCTGTCTTATTGTCTAACTGTCTGTACATCAATCAATCAATCAATCAATCAATCAATTAGTCATCTGTCTATCTATCTATCTATCTATCTATCTATCTATGTATCTATCCATCTATCCATCTATCTATCTCTGTCTCTTTAGCTATCCAGCTCTATATCTGCCTTCTATCTATCTGTCTGTCTATCTAGCTCTATATCTGTCTGTCTGTCTAGCTAGCTCTATATCTGTCTCTCTATGTCCATCTGTCTGTCCGTCAATCAATCAATCTGTCTCTATCTATCTATCTATCTATCTATCTATCTATCTGTCTGTCTGTCTGTCTGTCTGTCTAGCTATCTATCTCTGTATCCGTCTCTCTGTCTGTCTATGTCCATCTGTCTGTCCGTCAATCTATCAATCAATCCGTCGGTCTCTATCTATCTATCTATCTATCTATCTGTCTAGCTCAATATCTGTCTGACCGTCTGTCTATGTCCATCTGTCTGTCCGTCAGTCAATCAATCTGTTGGTCGGTGCCTATCTATCTATCTATGTATCTACCTGTCTATCTGTCTGCCTATCTTTCTATCTCTTTATCTGTCTGTCTGTCTGTCTATTCCTGACACAAAAAATAATAACCAGCTGAATTGATTTCTAACTCCGGTGTTCAGGTTCGGTATCCACCCTGTGGCTGGACGTATGCCCGGTCAGCTGAACGTGCTGCTGGCTGAAGCTGGAGTTCCGTATGATGTGGTTCTGGAGATGGACGAGATTAACGAGGATTTCCCTGGTGAGCTTCACCCACAACCAAACAGCGCTGAGTCTTGCACTGCACATGACCTTGAGAACACCTCGCTTTTTAAAATGTTCGGAATGTTTAAAGTCGTCAATAACTAACCATATCAAAGCCTTAAAGGAGGCGTACGCTATACATTTTTTCCCTCACTGTGATGTCAGCACTCAAACCTTTCAGGTGTTTCAACCACCTTTAGGCCGAAAGAGCTTTTAACAATCTGTCTATCCATCTGTCTGTCTATCTATCTGTCTGTCTGTCTGTTTGTCTGTTTGTCTGTCTGTCAGTCAGTCACTCTATCACTTTTTTGACACTTTACATTTTAAAATGTTTTGAGTCTTTAAATAAGCCTGCTAAGGCTTTGACACGGTTATTGATTGATAATTTTAAAGGACACGTATGCTATACAGTTTCTTCCTTGTTGTGATGTCAGCATTTCAGCAGGACACTCTGATGATCATGAAGCTGAATGTTGTGGCTGCTTTATGATAAACTGAACCTGCACCGGGATTTTTTTTCTTACTTCACTGAAAAGTAACAGCGAGAAACAAACATTCTGAAATATTTTTGTGGTGTAAGATGCAAATATCAGAATCACTGACTCACTTTCTGCCACCAACCGCAGCAGAGGAACAAATTATTTAAACAAGAGAACCGGCTGATTCATTTAGTCCCTGCAGACGGGAGTCAGACGCTGATACTGTGAAAAACACAACAGTTACATCCAAACACTATGGAGTGTGTGTGTGTGTAGTGTGTGTTGGGAGCGTGCGGGTAAACCCAGCGCTCTGATCTCAGCTCTGCAAGAATTCAGTCTCATTATGTAACTGAATACAGATGTGCCGTGTTTGAATGTGCTGGAGTGTGAATCAGTCCTGTGTTCGCTCAATCAGCCGGCACGTGTCTGCAGTGTGAGGTTTATTTGTTTGGTCTCAGCTTTTCTTATATTTCCCCCATAAAGAAATCTGAGATATGACATATTAGCATTATTGAGCTTCACTTATGTCCAACTATGTCCATATGACATATATGCCAACTTATGGGATACATATTTCAGCCATATATCAATTTGTATAATCATATATGTGTAATACATATATTATGCATATATGTCCAATATTTGATACTTACATATATGTACACTATGTATTATACTATACTATATATATATATATATATATATATATATATGACCATATATTTTGAAATATATTTTTAACCCTTTACAATTTATGTGCATATATGGCCATATATCAGATTTCCATATGGGACTACTTTACTTTAATCTCTTTTTGCAGCACCACCTAGTGGCTGTTCTACCAGAATGGAAATCAACTCAAATCTATTTAATAATATAATCAAATAAAATACTGGTCCCCGTAACTCTGTTATCAGATGAACTAGGACTCTGTCGTCTCTCTGTGTGTGAAACGTTGTTGAGCTGCTAGAAAGCGATGAGGAGTGAAAGGGGAGGGGTGTGAAAAACTATTCACACCCCTCCACACAGACGGCCGTGCTGGGACAGACAACTGTAGTTCATTCATTTAGAACAGAGCTTATTTACATTGTTGGTACACAAATTCAAACAAACATTATAAGTGGATGTTAAAAGGGGAAAATTTGAAACAGAAATTAGTGTGATATGGACTCTTAATGTAATAAGAATAGGAAATAACATTATCCCTGATACAAGGTTTTGTTATTCATCACCATTACTGTAATATTATATCATCAACAGTAACACACGAAGGTAATCAGAGGGACGGTGGAGATCGAGTCTGCAGTGTCTGAGATTTTAAAAACGCAGAGTTAGAAAAGAAAAATATCTCACAGTGAAAGCAGTGTTTTACAGTATGAATAAATGTAGAGTCATTATGTTAGTAGTGAACAATACTGCCTGACAAAGCTGCCTAAAAACGATAGAAACGGACCTTAAACAGAAGTTAGGACACTATTGGGGTTTATCCTAAAGTTAGGACAGTATTTAGGAGATTTAGTCTAGTTAGGATGTTTGTGTAATACTGTTTTCTTACCTGGAGTTAATGATAAGTTTATGAAGTTACTATGATAGCTACTGTCCTAAATTCAGTCCGTATTGAAGTAGTCATGGAGACTAACCACATCAGATTTCAGAGATAAGAAGTTTCTGTAATATGACTTCTGAAGAATAAGATCTGAGTTTGTGTTTGTCTCATACAGAGACTGACCTGACCCTCGTGATTGGAGCCAATGACACAGTAAACTCAGCAGCACAGGAGGATCCAAACTCCATCATCGCGGGCATGCCTGTGCTGGAGGTGTGGAAGTCCAAACAGGTTAGAGATCTCTGCACTACACTCTCACAGAAACCGGGACCACACAAACACTGTCGCTGGATCACACAAAGGGTCCGGCTTCATTACCTTTAGTTAGGAAACATAAGACTACCAGATTCTGTTGCCGTTATTGTAAGTTGCATGTCCTCTAAGTTTATTTATTTATTTTTAATGTCATAAAATAAACGCAGGAAAAGGTACATGTATGTTTCTTTCCCTCAGAAGGTGAATGTAGTCTATTTTTATACTCTTTTAACTACATGAACCTGCCGAGCCCAGTACCAGGCCCAAAAAAAAGGAAATAAGACAAAGTACAGGCCACAAGGCCAAAGAGAAATGCATGAATGTCAGTAGATTACTGTGGAAAGACAATAAGCTGCAGCCTGTCCAGTACAGCAACAGCAAACCGATATGTAATATCAGTGTCTAAACTTAATATTTGCCACTAATAATCGTTTAGGATATACTGTTAATTATTCAGCAGCAACCATTGTCATTAAGTAGTATCACCAATGAATTATTCTGTATCTACTATAATTTATTCCATATCCACTGCGAATTATTTAGTAACTACTATGAAATATTCAGTATCTACTATTAATTATTCAGTAACTATGAATGATTCAGTATCTACTATGAATTATTCAGTAACTACTATGAATTATTCAACAGCTACTATGAATTGAGTATCTATTATGAATTATTTAGTATCTGTTCTGAAACTAGTGTGTAAGTTCAGTATTTATAAGACTGGGGAAGTTAAAACGCTCCGCTCTTTTTCTCTCATTGGTGCAGGTGATCGTGATGAAGCGAACTCTGGGTGTCGGCTATGCAGCGGTGGATAACCCTATTTTCTACAAACCGAACACCTCCATGCTGCTGGGAGACGCCAAGAAGACCTGTGACAGCTTACAGGCCAAAATCAGAGAGGCCTACTACTGAGCCCCGGCACAACCGCTTCAATTTCAGAATTAAGAGCTACAGAATTAAGAGGAAATGTATTTATTTGGAAAATAATCATGTTGTTTTATTCACAATAAAAGTGCCTTAAAAATGAAACGAATCACTTCCCGATCAATCAGTCTCAACAATGATCTGACAGCAGCATTGATACTGTTTTAATTGCATGCAATGCTTTGTAAATAAAAAAAATCTTTAAATATTACTGCTGTGTTTGTATTTGAGTCTGGAAAGTACAGCATGCTGGATGCAGGTTGTGTCTCCTGTTAAAGAAGTTCTCTGTTGCACAGCAACAAATGCACAGCATTCAGAGAGCAGGTGTAGCAGTCGCAGCCACAGAGAGAGAAACTCCTGCTCAATCTTAATAATTCCAGTGCAGGTCCTGTGCTCTGAAGGCGGGTAATAGATTCAGTGATCACTCTGTCCTCTTCATGACTTGCCAGCGTCCCGCTTGGCCTTGCTGATCAGCTTGTGCAGGAAAGAATAGAAGAAGAGAAGATTATCATACTCCCCTCTATACTCTCTCAGCAAACAGTGGATGTGGAAGTCCTTCAGGAAGTAATAGATGGCCTCGATGGTGGCCAGATACGTGTCCGGAGAGCCTCTCTGGTGGCGCCAAAAACACGTTTTCCTCGATTTTAACTCCACCTGTGGTAAAGCTGCAGAGAGAGGAGGAGCAAATAAGAGTGTGAAGAGAGTGATCCCACAAATCATGTTTGTTAGTAAATTTTAAAGTGATAGTTCCTCCAATTCTAAGTCTAAATCACAAGTTATGTCCCAATTCAGGGGTTGCATGCTTCGGAGGCGGCATCTGAAGGCTGACTGCATCACAGTGCCGTGACTAGGTTGTCTCGTTTTGAAGTTTCCTTCATACGCGACCAAGAAATGTGTCCTCCTTTTTCATGGCAACGAAGGATCCAACAGGTGGATCCTTCGCCAGCCAACATATCTCGAGGTTCATTGCGTGCCAGATTTGAGAACATGGTGGCGTCAGCAGAGGAGGGAATGGCGGCTGAGGAGACACTTTAAATGTAAGAACTGGGTTTAAACTGAGTCGAATAGTTAACGATACAAATGTTAAAAAAAAACATTGTGGTCTGAAGCACGAGGTACACTAACGTTTCGTTTTGTTTTAGGGAGCAAGGAGCAGACAGAGAAGCATCTCCAGCTCTAATAAATAAAAAAATAAAAAATTAAAAGTTTTTGGCTCCATCTTTGAAGAGCTTTAAAAGACCTTGACAGGAGCAACGTTTCCTGATGCACTGGTAAGGGCAGGAACAGAGGTGCTGTGACTCAAACAAGAAATCCGCCATAGAGCAGACCGTCTCATTTCGGTTCAGCCTTTACGGGTCTACGCTGCCTTTGAATGACGCTTTAAATGGACACTTCAAAGGACATCTTTAAATGTCCCCAGTATGTAGGTCTTTTAAACCAACCTATGTGCTTGATCCAGACACCAGACATCTTTTCTTTGCTAAAAGTTTATTCATTATTTAGGATCAGACTCTGAGCTTCTGATTTAAGTGTTTTTATTGGTTATACTGCAGCTGAAACACAGCTCATGTGTTGGGTGACAGTGGACCAATCACAGTCAGGGGGAGGTTTCAGAACAAATGACAAGATGATTAGGAGTTATGTTTTGTAAGGTCTACACACCGCACCGTACAAAAAGCCAAAAATACAATATTTTGCTATGAAACGTTGTTTTCATTTCAAGTATACTGCAGCTTTACTAAAATACAGACCAAATCCAGGCCTTGAGCTAGGCTACTGTAGACATGTTTACATGGTTAAGATGCAAACAGAGTCGCTCAGAGTGGTTTGGTGTGAAACGTACCGTTCTAGAGAAACTTGCCGAGTCAGAATTGTTCATAGTGGTGGTGATATGAACCAGATGTCCACCTCTAAAAGCTCCCTCACAGAAAGCTATTACGTGAAATGGTTATGAATATACTGCCTGAGACACTGTTTTATGATAGTTTAGAACTTAAAATCCATCATAGTGGAGGGATACATGCAGGGTGCTGGGAGGCAAAATAGTCCCCAAAGAAAACTGATTATTTCAGATTTTCCGCTATTTTCCCATCATCAACATTCCATATAAAACTCAGAAGGCATTTGTAGGTTCACTGGTGGTTTTGGATAGTAAATAAAATGTCTATATTTGTGTTGTAGTCATGGTGACCCCTGGTTCCTATCACCACCACTGTAGAGAAATCTGAACCATTTCACACCAAACCACTCTGAATCACTCTGTTTACATCTCACACACTCAATTATGGGGGAATTCTGAAAGGTAATTGAAATTCCCCTTAACAGCAGAGGAGTATGTGAAGGTGAGTGTGGTCGAGTGCAGTGATACCCTGTAAACGTTCATCCGTGATGATCCTGGTGGTCTGGTTCCAGGTGCTGTCGATAAAGATGACCCTCTGGACTGGACAGGTGTGTTTCTGTGAGTCGTCTGTGTGCTCTGGAGTGCAGGTGTGTGAGCTCTCTCTCTGTTCCTCCACTTTGAGTTTCTTTACACGTCTCTCCTCCGCTGGACTCTCTGCTCCTCTTTTCCCTTCAGTTTTGCAGAAATAGGTCTGCAGTTCCTCCACCGTCATCGCATCCGGGCCTGGAAACACCAGCACCACCTGCAGGCATGGCACACATTCAACCTACAACCTGTAACCTAGCTGGTTAAGCGTCCCTTGCTTTAAAGGGCTCTTTAAATAAAAGAGTTTTATGTAGTTTATAAACACTTTTTGTATAGCAGTTTAGCCCCGCCCATTCAGCCTACAGCAGTTTAGCCCCACCCCTTCAGTATACAGCATCTTAGCCGCCACCCCTTCAGCCTACAGCAGTTTAGCTCCGCCCCTTCGCCCTACAGCAGTTTAGCCCCGCTCATTCAGCCTACAGCAGCTTAGCCCCGCCCATTCAGCCTACAGCAGTTTAGCCTTGCCCATTCATGCTGAAGTTCAGCCTAACTTGCTTTTTGAAGGCACAGTGCAGGGCAGCCATTCAGAATAAAGTTCATTCACTGCATGGTAGGACTCAACTCGGCTTGCTTTTGGTACCAGCTACCAGCAGTTTTTCTCCGTCACCTTCTGGCATTGGCTCAGCTCGCCTGGAACCTCGACCAAAGTGATACCAAAAATAACACCAGGTACCAGATTTGCCTGGAGATTCAAAAAAGGCAAGTAGAGTCGAGTCGAGCCGGTACCATGCAGTGGAAAAGTGGCTTTACATATATAAATCTTAAAGGCACAGTAACAAAAACAGCCTGTTTAATTCTAAGGGATAAATAGAGGTTGGAACATGACAGCTTAAAATTAATTGTGACTCTTTGTGCTTCATAAAACCACACAAAGGTTATACACAATGTAATTGCATTTAAATAATTATGAAATGTAAATGGAACATGCAGCAAACAGAGACTCTTAAGAGTTAAAAAAAAAAACTGTCATACGTTCTGCGTCTGTCCGTCGAGCTCTGGGATGCAGGGGTAGGTGTATATGGAGACGTCGTCCGGCGCGATGAGTTTGGCGTGAACCGCAGTGCTCTTTCCGTCCGTCTCGTTCGGGTGCTTAATGATGTCAATCTTCACAGGCAGCTGAAAGCACAACAGAAATAAAACTCCATATTTAAATAACATGAACATCATTTTATAGTTAAATTGCTGCATGTTGAACCCCCTGCCTTACAGAGTCCACATTTTCCTCCCTTTTTTTTTTTTTAAATAAAAGAGTTTAGTGTAGCAAGTAAACACTGTTAAAAGTTTCAAAACATTTGCTAACCAGTACATAAATTCCACGTATGAAAAACAAGCTTCAAAAACAGCCCATTTTGAAATCAGGCCATTTACATATTTGTGCCTATTCACCCTACAGCAGTTTAGCCCCACTCATTGTGTGCAAATTGTTTAATAACCAAACTCGAATTATCTGATGTTTAGTGTGTAAAGAAAATGTCTTTAATAAACAACCTGAACACACTGACTACTGACCTCTAAAGAATCACTGTAGGCTTTCAGATACATTCAGTTTAGCCTGTGTTAAAGGGGCATTTGGGCCTAAGACTTGCATTCCATATGTTATTTCTTCTGTTGTGTAATATTCTGTGGTGCTGCACTGCCTCATCAGTTCATCAGAATTCGTGATTTTGTATCTCTTCTTGTGTTTTCATCCATCCATGTTCTCTTGCTACCATACCCAGCATGCTCTGCGCAAATATGCAGCCCCTAATGTAGAGGCTAAGGGGCGACTTTGGTTATTAAATAAAAGGTCTATATTTGTGTTGAAATCATGGTTTCTGATTCCTATCACTACCACTGTAAAGAATTCTGAACCATTTCACACCAAACCACTCTGTTAACAAATTTTGAAAAATCAGTGGAATTCCCCTTTAAATTAAAGCCATACTGAGACCACAGAATGGCAGGTTAGATAATATGTGGCTTAAAATGTGAACGGAGAAAGGCAGCCAGTCTTCTGGATAAACCTCAGCTAACGCTACAGCCTCGTCTTCTTCATCTCTTACCTTTCAGCTCAAACACAGAGAGTTTGTAAAGAGGTAGTGAACTGATACTTAACCTGATAAATTGTGCTTTACTTTTTAAAACTTTACAGGAGTTGAGAATAAAAATGAACTTCACGGTCATCTGCGCTCTGCTATGTGACGCATTTTCAAACATTTCATTTCAAACAGACGGTCCACAAAAATCCACCCCAAAGCAGTTTTCAAATGTTCCTCCCACCTTCAAGATACATCATCAGAAGGGGACCCTAGTCTTTAAACCAGAAAATCACACTCTAGATTTACTGCATGAGTAGACTAGACAGGTTTACAGCAGATGCAGAAATAGTTCACTTCTTAAATTTTGGCCAGAGTGCCCCTTTACACCGTTATTTAATAGATAACTCTGTTAACGGCTGACCTTCACGGTGGGGATGTGTTCTGGATTCACTCCCACCAGACAGCAGCAGGTATAGCAGTAGAACATCCTGGAGCCGCTGCAGCTGGGGCATTTCATCCTGCCGGCTAACTGAGCACTCTCCAGCGGCACGTGAGGAGCCAGAATGAGATCCTGCAGTGGTGGCTCGGGAGGTCCGGAGTCCGACGTCTGCCCATCCTGCTGTGAGGAGGGGGTGTGGGCCATGGGTCCGAGCAGGAGGCCTTAAAACCCTTCAAAAGAAAAGGATCAGAGTGGATTAAAAGGCTGGTACTTTCATTCAGCAATATCTGATAACACGCTCACATAAAACCATTTAGATCTATTCAAGCTTGAAAGGGGAGTTCCACCGATTTTTTAAAATTTCCACATAATTCAGTCATTCAAATGTACGTTATCCAGTGTGAACAGATGTGAAGGTGGCTTTTAGAGGTGGACGTCTGGTTCCTGGCACCACCACTGTGAACAATTCTGACTCGGTAAGTTTCTCTAGAACGGAGCGTTTCACACCAAACCACTCTGAATGAGTCTGTTTACATCTTAAACATTTAATCATGCAGGAATTTTGAAAAGCCGGTGGAATCCCCCCTTTAAATATCTGTATTACCGTATATTGATATAAAATTATTTAAAGCCATATGAGTGCTAGTTACACTTCTTAACAGTACTATCGTTATTACAGCATAAATCATATCTAAACACAGTCTACAGTACAGCGCTAACAGAATGCGCTTATGGAAACAGATCTGTGAACAGTTTGTTGCACTCAACATATTTATTATTTACTGTTTACTGTTTATCCGTCAGACTGATAAAGAAGCACGAGGCTGAAATCAGCTTCTTATTCGCCAGCTTTTTGTTCGAATTTTCCCGTTCCACCTTAAATGGTTCGCAATGACAATCTGGCACACCAGGCGTTAATAATAACAACTGCTACACCATTTAAGGTGGAACGGGAAAATTGATTCGAAAAAGAAGCTAACGCTTTATTACTAACAACTAAACACAGGCAGACTCTCTTACCTTCCTTTACTCACACAAACCACACTAATGCAACATTAGCAAGGCTATTTTAGAACCTAGAGTGATTCTTTTTATTTTTATGAATATTCTTTAATAATTTAAACTCAGCGGAAAGCGAGGGCACGCTGCTGGAGTACACACGCCGGAAAGACTTCTATTTTGGCCGGAAACGGTCACGGGCTTGTGTGCTGTTGCTAAGCAATCGAGAAACGGCCAGTAAACATGGAAACAGAGAAAGAGAAAAAATCTGAAAAAGACATTTTTAAACCTGTAAACTCACTGGAGGAGTTTATGCAGCATCAGGGGCTGGTGAGAAAAAAATTAACTTTTTGTCTACATAACCTCTTTCATAAGTTACAGTTCATACGTTTTACAGCAGCTAACAACTGTTAAAAACTGAAAGAAATTTAGGCTCACAACTAAAACACCAAGAAATACCTTTATTTGGACCTGTATAACACTCTTTACAGTCTGAGAGCAAATTAAAGCAAGATGAAAATATATTAAATAAATAAACAAATAAATAAAGGAATAAAAATAAATAAATAAAGCAAAATAAATAAATAAAGCTAAATATATAATAAAAGCTAAATATATAATAAAAACGTAAAGAACGAAGTAAAAAGAATTATAAATTTAAGTAAACTAAATATATTAAAAGGTTGAAATAAAACAGCTAAAATAGTTTAATTCATTAAGTTAAACATAACAGCACAATAAATTTAGAAATGTAGAAATGTGGCTATGACCGCATATCTAAAGCATCTTAAGCATTTACTTAAAGATACTGAAAATTAACCTTGGAGTCTAAAACTCAGTTTATAAATATGATTTTTTTTCACTTTCCACCAGTATTTAAGGCCAAAATTCACTTAAGTGGCCACTGCACTGCAAAAAAGTGGTAGTGAATTTATCTTAAATCTGCTCGACATCTGTATTATTTCTCATGCTGACTGGAAGCTTATAATAAGATTATTTAACTGAATTCGAACTTGTTTTAAGTAATTTTTCAAGTAAAATTATCCCACTATATTGGCAGATAAACTTGTTTCAAACTTCTTAAGCTGCCTAAGGTAACAGTGTGTTTTTATAAAGAAATCTGTTTTGTGTGTGTGTTGCAGGCAGACTGGCCTTTGACATCAGAGGAACATATGGAGAGTTCTGCTGAGTTTTTCTCTTTCACCGACTCTGAGCAGGTTTATGAGTATTTGAAGGAGCAGGTTCCTTTTCCCAAACACATCCCTGAGTCACTGCTAGAGGACTCTGAGAAGTTGTGGGCCAAGGTGAAAGGTCATGAAGCCACACTGTCCCATGCACAGAGCAGAACTCCAGCAAAGGAGCAGTGCACATCTGAAAGCTGACTGATTTCTGGCTGAAGCTTATCAGACTATGAATTTTACAGTCACATATGATTACTGCTGTCGTGTCGAATATTTTCGTGTCGAAGTGTTGAATATTTTGCTCATTAGCCACGCTCACACAGTTCTCAGATCGGTCCGATCAGCGGTTTTTAATCCGTGTTTTATCATATTTATATCTTAGATTTTTCAGTCAAGCTTTGTTGGAGGTTAAACGTAACACTCAAGTTTAGTGTCATACAAACATTTTTAATATTTCACTGTGTTCTCTGTGACTTTATTGTCTTAATTAGTTGGATCAGACCCCCAACCAGCCCCACATCACCTCCGTAATTTTACTGCATGTCACTTTGATAGCATACTGAACAAATCCGTTCTCAACTGTAGCTCAATCCAGCACCTCTCGGCCAGTGCACTGGCAGGGGACTTCACGCTGGAGCTCCAATTCAGCTGGATCTGGCAGGACAGTGCAGCGCTAAGGCCCAGATTAGCGAAGCGCTGCCATGTTTTGACAGCTCTGGAGATGGAGGTTTGGTCTGGGGATTTGGTTACTATGCATACTAGAATAATAAGATGATCTAAGTGATGATGAATTGATGATATGCAGTGACATAAAGGTTACAGCTGAGTGTGATCTGGGCAGAGACCAACAGCAGTGTTAGCAAAGCCAGAACACTCGAGATAGAGCCTGAGTCACATTAACTAATAGTTCAGTACAGTTTAAACTTAATTAGGGCTATTATGGTTAATTAACTTAGCTTTATTCTGTTTAAAGCAATACATTAATTAAAATGTACCTTCTTGATGAATCAGCATTAATGAGCATGTACATACACTCAGAAAGATGGTTCCAGGGTTCTTTTGTAAAGGAAATGGTTCAGTTTGCATGCTTAAAGGATTCTTAGCATGGCAAAATCGTTCTTCAGATTGACAGAGAATGTGTAGGACATGGTTCTATAAAGAAACATACACTTTTGGTGCTTAACAGAACCATATACATCATATTCTCTATCAATCTGAAGAACCATTTTACCATGCAAAGAAATATTTAAGCATGAAATGGATCTATATAAAACTTGTGGTTAATTTTTTACTAAAGAACCCTTGAGGAAATGTCTAATTGTTTTCTTAAATTATCTTAAGTACCCTCTTTAAAAAGATGGTTCTTCAAGGGTTTTTAGCAATGGCAATGGTTCTATGTAGAACCATAAACACCCAAAGAACCATTTGCATGCTTAAATGGTTCTCTGCATGGTGAAATCGTTCTACAGATTGATGGCGAATGTGTTGTATGTGGTTCTTATTAGAACCTTTTTGAAAATCGTTCTATGTTGAACCAAAAAGTGTTCTTCTATCGATACCCTATTGTAAACTTGAATCTTAATCACAGCAGAACACTTTTTGGTGTTACATAGAACCATTTTCAAAGCATACAACACAAGCTTCATGAATGTGAAGAACCATTTCCCCATGCAAAGAACAATTTAGGCATGTATAATAGTTCTATATGGAACTCATGGTTCTAAACAGAACCATTCCATTTACTAAAGAACCCTAAAAGAAGTGTCTTTTATAAGTGTGTTCTGCTCTCTATGTTAGTAAGGCAGAGATAGATGGACACAAATTTATATGCATTTGTAACGCGTTGTATTATATATATTTTAGAATGTTTGAAAGGTTCTACATGGTTCTGCATGGTTTATTTTTCATCAGTCTGTTTTTATTGTTAGTTCTTTATGAATGCATCATAAAGCCTAGTGATCATTCAGTTATTAAAGGTCTCTCCAAAATATTTCCTTTAGCAGATACTTACACAACAAGTCAAGAGGTTTTAATTGTCATTCCATCTATGTACAAGTACGCAGTGGAGTGAAACACAGTTCAATCTGAGTTCAGTTACAAAACCAGCTTCACACAGACTCAGTCTGAACCTCCCATAAACATTTGCTCATAAATCATCCATCTGACATTTTATTTATGAATGTATTTTTAATGGTCACTGGCGTATTGTTGCAGTGGTGCTATTATTGCTCCATTTTTCCCCCTCTAGACACTCCATGTGCAGAAAAAGCACAAAGAATAATAAAAGAGCAACGTTATTGTTACTGTGATGTAGTAATATTTGATATCCTGATACTTAAAGGGCTCATATCCAACATTTTTCTTGTATTTTATTTTTTCCTATTTGTGTGGTTTTAAATATCATAAGCAGTCATTTTTAAAACCTTTCTTCAGCCTCACTTTATCCATTAGAATTAAACAGCCTGTTATTGTTACTGTGCCTTTAAGACTTATATATGTAAATAAGCTGTGTTCTGATTGGCTGCCCTGAATTGCATCGCATTAAAAAAGCTAGTTATTGTGAGTTAATAAAGGTGAAGCAGTGTTTAATCAATATCAGTGTTTTTTACACCACTGCAGCTTAATGTGCTGCACCACAGTAATATGTGGCCTCAATATATTAACTTATGGTCTCAGTATATGAATTTGTGCTTTCAGTATATTGATTTGTGCTTTCAGTATATTAATTTGTGGCCTCAGTATAACAATTTGTTGTCTTAATATATTAACGTATGGTCTCAACATATTAATCTGTGGTCTGAATATGTTAATTTATGGCCTTAACATAGTAACGTGTGGTTTCAATATAGTAATTTGTGGCCTCAATATTATAAATTTCTCGGCTTGATAATTTGTGGTCTCAGTATAATAAATTGTGGCCTCAAGATATTAATTTGCGGCCTCAATATATTAATTTGTGGTCTCAATATAGTACATTGTGGCCTCAATGTAGAAATTTGTGACCTTAACATATTAATTTATGGCCTTGATCCATTAAATTGGGGTCAAAATATAGTAATTTGTAGCCTCAATATAGTAATTTCTGGTCTCAATGTATTCATTTATGGCCTTAATATATTAATCTGTGGTCTCAATATATTAATTTGTGGTCTGCATGAAGTAAGTACATTGTGGCCTTACTGTGGTAATTTGTGGCCTTAGTGTAGTAATGTGTTTCCGCACCTTATTAAAAATTATCCTCACGTCACCTCAGGGGCTCTGTACTAACACGCAGGTCAAAAGATGTGAGTGTCCAAACTGAGCGTGTCAGACTGCTCTGCGAGCTGTGAGCTCAGTTTACAGTGGTGCAGTAAATCAGCGCTGTCAGTGCAGTTGAGCCGCTTTTGTGTGCAGGTCTGTGCTCAGTAACACATGGAGGACGCTGCATCTCCGGCTGGAAGCTTTACGCATGTCAGAAACGGGAGATGATTTGATGCTATTCTGCGTTCAGGTCAGAGTTCTGTGTTAGAGCAGCAGTAAAAGTGCCTCACGCAACACTGCTGTCCGCCTCACACTTCCTCATCATGGCAATTTTTCATCTGCTGCAGAAACATGGGAAATTGGGCTGTTTCCCATCCCTCCCAGTGCCATGCTGTAAAGGGACAGCTCAGCAAAAAATTAAAAGTACACATCGGTTCCCTTCCTTAATATAAATGTAGTCACTCAGCCAAGATATTTTTAGTGTCTGAAGTTTGCTTGTATAGTTTTGGCACTTATGCTACGAGGCTAATGTGGCTGACAACCCTGCAAGAAAACCCAGCACAGACCAGCACAGCTGCTCACAAGTAAACCCAGCATACAAAGTGTTTTGGATGCTGATACACTCTCAGAGGATTCTTCATAGGTTCTTTAGTGAAGAACTATTTGCATGCTTAAAGGTTCCTTGCATGGTGAAATGGTTTTTCAGATTGATGGAAGATGTGTTGTATATATTTTGA